CATCAGGCAGGACCAAGTCAAGGTTAAGCAAAATTAGGTGTAATATCCCGGAGACTCCAAGAGGACTCCCGGTGATGAAATGAGCCTTGTTGTAAAGAGCGTCGTGCTAGAACTATGATCAGTCCAGCTAGTATCTTCAATAGAGCCCAAACGCCATTTTTAGCGATTCCTCGTCGTCTTCATCACTTGAGAAGCGACTCGTCATCCTCATCTTCCTCGTCACTCTCGAAAAGACACTCTATCTCCTCCTCGGGCCAAAGCTCGCTGATCAAGTAGCGGGCACTCTGCCAATCCGCCCAATGGCCATCCGAACTGTTTTACGAATGTCAGTGTTACATTGAGTGAAGATGATGGGCTAAGACGTACGAAACAGTGATAGCAGAGCCAAACAACATCGAAGCCCGCAACAGAATAGCGGTGACGACAACGTCATAAGGCCTTTCGCCCGTCTTACAGAATTCGTTATGATGCCTGTCGAGTTCGGGGTGGAAGAATAAGTCTTCATAGTCGTCACTATCAGCTCCGTTGAGATGAATACCATTGGTGACATCGATGACAGGTGGAACACCAGGAGTGGCACTCTTGCAAAGAGGGATATCGGCCGCTTTGACAATTGCCTTCGTGTCTTCGACTAGGCGGCTCCAGGTCTCATCCAATAGCTTCGAGTTCGTAAAGTTCCAGCGCCAGTAGTGTGTGTAGCTGACAGGTATGTTAGGAAGCGTGGGTGATTTAGGCTGCAGATCACTTACCCCATGGTTTGCTTGGATACCCTTTTGAGAAGCTTCAGAATCTGTACGAGTAAGTTTGACGCGAAAGCGCTCGTTACGTTCCCGGAAAGTGTGTAGAGGAACAGACAATCGAGTGATGTGAACGAAACAGTGTTCAAGTTGCCGACACTGCTCCTATTTGTACTCTGGCCACCCTCAAATGACGGTGATCTGCTATCATTTGCTGCCAAACATATCTGAATTGGCGGTAACACGGGGGCATGGTTGCCTGATGGTTGCCTGATGGTGCCCCATCTCCAATGCGCCTTTCAAGGTTGTACGACCAGCGCGCATGCACGTGACAGCGCGTAAGCATTCACGACTTATATGCAAGTTAGCGCTCCATAGCATCCTTAGTACCGTAAGATTGCAAGCAGAAGCACACACTAGACTCGAATCTGGTAGCGATGTCGTGGCTGAGTTGAAATCCATGGTTACCTAGGTAAGATTTGGAAGGATTACGTACGTACTCCAATACACGACACAGATATTTGATTACAATTCCTTCTTATGAGCCATTCTCCACACGCACATCTGCACATATCAAGCAAGAAACATGGCAGAGCAGCAAGAAATCGACGCTGCAACTACCCCACACGATGCTACCGAGTCGATCGTGCAGGTTCTCTCCGAGGTCCTCAAACATCCAACTTACGCCTGTGGTGGTACGATTGAATACACCTCAGACATCGATGTTCACTGGGACTCCGCGGGTTCGACTGAGCGACTTGTAATTCGTCACAACGAGTGTGGCCCTGAGCCGGATGCCCTTGAAAAGCTCTTACAGGATGCTATCCCTGCTGATTCTGCAGTCCGGGGCAAAGAAGTCACCGATGAGACGTACCGCAAAGCTTTTGAGCTAGACGCATCTACATTTTGCACCAACTTTTCTCCTTACGAGGCTGGGATCATCGATTTCATTGGCCAGGGTCTCCTTCCAAAGTCGCCATGTGAATCCCAGGCGTATTACGAGGCTGAGTTGCACAGGCTGAACATAGGTCATCATTTATACCTAGCCTTCATTTGGTCTGCAAAGGCTTACAGATCATAGGTATAAAAAGCCCCGTATGACTCTTTCAAGTCACGGGTCGAAACTCCGCGCTCGAAATTGCACTTTGGGACTCTAGTTGTATGTTGTATGCCTTCCGTGTGAACATGAGGGCGGCCAACTCCTGGCTCATCACGAAAGTCACTCCACGGCCTTTGACTGGGCTGGCCCTGCCAGGAACATTCAATGGGTCGCCTTCTACGACGACTGTGAGCCCGAAGTGCTTGAAATCATCTCCGGATATCGCATTACGTTGATGTATAACCTCTACGTGCGACGTGGTCTTGGTGAGCTGGCTGGGTATACCGACGCGATGAATGTTCAGCAACTCCCGCTATATCAGCTAGTTAAGGCTGCTATGGACGAACCATCTTTCATGCCAAAAGGTAATTTATTCCCCTCAATTATTCATGATACATCTCCTAAATCGACACAGGCGGCGTCCTTGGCAAATACTGCAGCCACGACTACGGTCACGCTAGTGATTTGGGATTTGAAACGCTACCAGATGCCTTCAAAGGGGCCGATATGATGGCTTACGAAGTTTTTCGCACGCTTAGACTAACTACGCACGTCTGCCCGGTTCTTTACATTGACGAAGGCATGAAATGGGTCCTAGATAAGGAAGAGGAAGAGCTTGAGATCGAGGATCGAGTTGGTGCATTGGCTCGTATAGGAAACACGCTTTCTAAGCCTGAGATTGATGTGTATCGTCTGGCTGAGTCTTTGGGCGGGACGCTCGATCATTATTCGCATGAGCTGTGGAAGGTAAACTGGTTGAATGATCCCACACCGGACACAGCAAACATTCAGTTCGCCTGCGTAGGTTCATAGTCCTAGCAATTGCTTGCGATTAGATACTAATATGTGTGCTACTAGTGCTACAGTGGCAGTGACGTCGACGGGCTATACAGCCACTGCGCCCTTCTCGTCAATATCCTGGCCTACAATAAGCGCCTTGATCTCTTGTCTCGCCTGTAAAATCAGCTGCAGATCTAGTGATCACGAGGTCTGGGAGGGAATCAGTTCAGCCCTTTGCTGTGATTGGCAAATTCAGAGCACGTTTGGTATCTCGGAACCATGCATGAAGTGGTCGATGGCCAACATGGATTTGATAAAATTCTCTTTGGGTGGTATAGTTGATAGAACTCGATAGACCTTCCGACAGATCTATGTTCGTCACTCTTATTGAACATTTGAAAATCGTTAAATCCTGCTGGACCTCTTCGACAAGCTAAGTAAATTTCGACGAGAGCTTTACCGAGCGTTTTCACACTTACCTCAAGCTAAGTGAGCAGCGATGCTTGAATTAACTGGTACGCTAGACATGGACACCGTCGCGCATGTTCCACAAAATCTGGATCGTAATGCAACGCCTATGCTGACAAGCCTAGTGCCTGCCGTACACATGATTTGTACTTTATCATTCAACTTCTTATCCAGTCAATCAGGGTAGGGGCTATCTTCGATAGTAGATTCTCTGCTTCGATGTCGTCATTTGAGAACTTTGAATGCGGTAGTTTTTTTGTTTTAGGTGGGGTGGGGGGTGCCTCGGGTCGACTGTACCATGGTACCAGTGTCGCTACCGTCCAGTCAACGGATTCTAAGAGCGGATGTATAACAAAGACAAATTGGAGATTGCCCTTGTGATCAGTACCATAGCACCATCATATCCAATCTACGCTTGTATTATGGATTCACATGCTTGCGACGCCGGATAGTGGTCGGAAAAGATTGCTAGACGTCACCTGCCAGCGGCTTTTCATAATATAAGTAATCTTTACTCAATGAGAAGACATCATCAGACTATTCTCATCGATTATAGCCAACATACTAGTTCTATCAAACCGACCCCTATGAACAGCCCACGCAAATAGCTCAAGTTTGTTACCCCGGCAACTTCCCTTCCCTTTCACTTCAGCACAACATCCCCCTGCCAGCGCGTGCGCGCCTCTTCCTCCCAATCTCCCTTTTCGAATACATCATCGCTCTCTCATTTCGCCCGTCAACACGCACGGACTCTGGAGTACCTAGGTAGTATATTGCGAACGGACCACGTGCGCAGCCCACCCACCCACTATAGATCTCCGCCTTTCCAGTGTCTACCCAAGGTTTTCCTTCTACACAAACAGTTCTCAACCACAGTTTCTCAGCAGTTGAAACCACGACATCTACTCACAGTCTCCAAGATCTCAACTCTACGCGGACTATCCCTCTCGTTCACTCACACAACCTCCACTATCACAAACGATTCATGTAGTAAGCAACCGCACATCGCATTCTAGTCGCTCCACCTGAGTAACAAGCTATCAGAAAAAAAAATTCTCTACTATTTCCAAGATCACCATGGCAGTTTCTAAAGACGCCACCAGCGCCATTGTGACCAAGAAGGTCAAGGGTCTCAAGGACCACAAGAAGGCGCAGAAGGAGAAGAACGCGGCTAAGCGTCTCGCGGCTGCGGAGAAGGCCAAAGCTAAGAAGCTGGAGGCTGCGACCGAGAAGGCTATTGCCGCTGAGATCATTGCTGTGACCGTCGTTGCTGAGGCAGAGGAGATCGCCACGGTTGCTCAGGTTGAGCCTGTGGACTCTTTGGAGACTACCGACGGGTCTGATACCTACAATCAGAAGACCGACGTCATCGAAGTCTCCGAAGATCAAACCAATGACATCCAAGCCATCGTCAAGAACTACCTCGTCGTCGCCACTGAGGTCACTGTCGCGTACGCGGCCGATGTGTCACCTAAGGCTGACAGCATTCAAGGACCCAACAGTAGCCTTAACCCAGCGGTAATTGACTTCGTCATCTCCAACCCCACTATCGTGATCACCTCCAACCCCCCCGTTTCCCCTGAAGCCGCCATCGACATTATCGCGCATCGCAAGGCGTTAGAAGCCGACATGGAGACTCCACGCGAGATGTTTATGCGCTGCAAATATATCACATCTGTAGACGCTGAGTACCTCTCCAGTTTCGAAGGCGATGATGATATTATCGATGAGTCGTCCAACAAGATCAAATGTCTCGACTCCAACGGCTTCGAGATCATCCCGCTCCTAAACGGTCTGTCACTAGCAGACATTACCACCAACACCGAGTCTGCCCCAACGCTATCCGTAGACGACCTCTTCGCCAAGGTCTCCGCAACGAATGTATCAAAGATCTCTGCTACGGAATCATCGGAGATTCTTGCAATCGACTCTCTCGATCCTTGGGCCTGTATATCGCAGATCCTACATTCTAGCTCTGTGTCTCAGGATGGTAGAACTCTGGCATCTGTAGAGGCTGAGATGCGGTCCCGATCATCATCTATGACAGCTGTTTGTCAGGGAAGCCGGTCCCTGGAGGATGTTGAAGCTGAGATGCATTCGGGGTCTTCATCTACCACAGCTTCTTATAACAGTGCCCAGTCATTGGGTGATCCGAAGTCTGAAATGCCGAATGCCCTTAGCAAGAAGGTGTCGCCCCCTGCACCCTTTATTGATCCGGCTATTGTAAGCTGTAAGATCAAGTCGCAGTCCCTAGACATGACTACTGCTCCAGTAGACAACAACAATGCTAGGAACACAACAAACTCACCCCCAGATCTCACCACCTCTTCCACTGCATCAAATGCATCCTCGCATTGGACCCGCACTCCCTCACCCACCCATTTCAACTCTAAGACCTATGCATTCACAGTACTTACGCCTCGGAGCGGGTCTTCAACTCCATACGCCCAGTGCGGAGCTAGCGGGGTAGAGACGCCTGGTGTTATTGATTGTGCTCGGGTATCGAAGGACAATACGACAGAGCTGATGTTGCAGGAACATTTGAAGATGCCCCCGGGTGCGTACTTCGGGAATTGGGAGGTTGTTGCGCGAGGACTTGGTCTTTGGGGTTGGTTTAGGACCGCTTGGTACTAAAGGTTTGGCGTTGGGTGTTCGGAGTTGTTGTGAAATTACCTTGTACAGGTTTTTTTCTCCAAGTGTCTTTTTTTTTGTTTGGTCACCTGTCGTAAATAATACCATCTGGGGCTACTCGCGGTTTCTTGCGTTTACATGAGTGTCATTTTTTTGTTTTCCAAGGTCAAAAGAAATTCTGGGGTACCTCTTTCCTCGTCGAGACTGGAAAATGGCATCCGTTAATAATGAAGCTTGCAACCACAAATTGTTATTAAGACAGCCTCAGCCTGAGCTAGTTTGTCTTGTTGTTTAACAATACAAATTTAATTCCTGTAGTCCAATTGTGCATTATATAACCATGACACCACTGACTCGCGCTAAGAGCTTGCACCTCTGGTGAGTTCCGACTCGATGGTAAGAGTGAAGGAGCTAGTCACGCGGTAGCAGCAAGTGCGGGGCAGCAGGGAAGCTTGGACCCCTGACATGTCTCCACTCCTGCAAGTAATTCGGACCCAGAACCAACCAAGACTCCGACAAAGCCCAAGCACACAACACTCATATACCACATTGCTACTCACTATTGCTCACTACTGCTACATATATTGTAGGAACACTATTCGTTGTTATCGTACACAATGCTCAAGTCAAAATGGGCAACACAACCCGACGAGGCGGAGAAGGCTGCGGCACCAGCCGTCACGGCTGCTCAGCCAGGAACAACACCAGCATCAGCCGCACAGGCTACTTATGCACCGGTACGCAGAACAACATTCGGCCCTACGTTATGCTACGCATCTCTGTGTCAATGGACTTGGAACATAATTACAGAACTAACGCGACAGCAGAATAACAACACGTCTTATGACCCCGCATTCGACGACCCGTCAATAGATCCATTCGCTCAAACTGCAAGTACCGACGATCTCTTCTTTGATGACGACATCACGCCCATTGCCGATCCAGTTGTCGAGCACAATCCGCCAGAGTTGCAAGCTTCAGCCGCTGAATTCGTGCCCGAACAAGCAAATGCGCCTACGGCACCTCAGTCGCATCTGACCCCTCACCCTCCAAGAGAGCCAAGAGGTGGCGATAGGGGAGGTCGTAGTCGTGGAAGAGGAGGAAGGGGCCGTGGAAGGGGTCGTGGCGGACACAACACCGATATTCGGTTAGAGCAGAACGAAAAGAAGGCACTCGAAGCGCCCAAAGCACCCAAGGAGGCCGAACCAGCTCCTGCAGCCAACATCACTACCGAAGCTTCCGACCCTTCAGGTACTCCAGCTGCTCCGACTGAGCCCAAGGAGAAGCCTACGCACTCTGTGCGCGGTGACCGAACCTTGACGGGTGGCGCTGCTCGTACACGTTTGACGGAAGAGGAGTTGAATGCAAAACTCGCCAACATGCGCATCAAGAATGAAGCTCGGCAAAGCGCCCACGCTCGTGCAGAGGCCGACAAGGGCAATTTCGAGGCTCGGGAAGCCGTTATGCAGAGACAGGATGTGGAACGTAAGAAGGCACTTGCTGAAAAACAAAAAGCCGAACGCCAGAGTCGCCAGCAGATGATGGGTGAACGCGAAAAGAACCGCCAGCGCAAGTTGAATGCTCAGCAGGGCCGGGAATGGGACTTCGAGAAGGAAGATGGCTTTTCCGGCACCGGAGAGGAACGACGGCGAGGTGCTGCTAGGGGTGCACATGGTGGAGTTGCCCCTTTGAGACCTGTCGACAATGCATTTGCCGGTGGGGACAACCAAGATTCTATGGGTATATCCGTCCGCGGAAGAGGCAGAGGTCGAGGCGGCAGAGGAGGTCGTGGTGGGCGCGGTGATTTCGAGGGACCAGGGCCGAGACCCACACACACTAAGAAGCGCGAGGACGTCCTGCCTTCCGCATCAGATTTCCCAGAGCTACCCCCAGCGAAAGGAAAACCCGAGGAGATCAAGCAGACTGAACCTGAGCGTCCTACTATCCAAAAGCAAGATTCATTCGGCTTGCCGTCCCCAATGGAGAAAGGTCGCAGCTGGGCCGATGAGGTGGGCTCGTAGGAAGAGCCAGAGCCGAGAAATCGGGATCTTGATAGACTTTCGGATATACCATCGAACAACTCTTCGATCAAAGAATGGACTATCAACATTGCAGACAGCATGCACGGAAGTACATCTGGCAATGGTACTGAGGACCACGTTGATGGCCATGGCCATCAACGTGGTCCTCAGTACAATCAACAGCATAGTGATGACGAATTTGAAGACGTTGGAGCATACACAATATCAAAGATGTTGGGTATACGAGGGGGCGCAGGCAATGCAGGAGATGCAGGAGATGCAGGAGATGCAGGAGATGCAGGAGATGCAGGAGATGCAGGAGATGAGATTGATGAGGGTTGTAGCTCAGAAGATGATGCACCGCAGCCACCGGCAGCTACCAACAATCAACAGACTGGTGATCCGAATGCCCCAGGTGCAACGGCACCTCCAACTTCAAACCGTATTCGAATCCTGGCACGGCTTACAGACCGTGTTAGACACGTTCGGCAACGTATTCGAAGACGCATACATGGAGGGACCATGGTGCCAATTCCAGGGACGACTTTACCTCAGCCTCCACCTCTGAATCTACCTCAGCGCCCACCTGCGAACGTAAGTCAGCGTCGATCTACAAACTTTCCTGAGCGTCCACCTGCGGATTTTCCTCAGCGTCCACTTGCGAACTTACCTCAGGGCTCACGTTCGAATCTACCTCAGGGTCCACCTTTGAATTTACCTCTGCGTCTAAATGTGGATTTACCTCTGCGTCCGCGGTCGAACGTACCCCAGGGTGTACCTTGGCGTAGACGTGAATCGGAGGGCATACCTGAAGAATACGAGGATGAACCGGAGGGAGTCAATCGTTCGCAAAGCGGTTCGCATACCCAGGGCCCACCTAAAATGTCAGATGAGGATTGGGACAAATTACCTGCCTGGTCTGATGTTGAGGATGACCCCGCCTACAACGTTCGTGTCCCGTCCCGGGTTGAGCTGCATGGACCGCCGCCAATGTCATGTGTTAGCGTAAGTTCAGGTTTCACTCAAGAACAAGCCGATGACGCGCGAGAATCGAGCTCGGTATATTCGAATGAAACCCCTAGAATGGCACATATGGGCGAACTAAATGCCAGATTGGTTTTGGCTTCGTTGGGTACACCAGGAGCGCGAGGATATGTTCGGGGCACTGATGGAGTCCGCCCAGGAAATCCTGCGGGGCCACAGGAATCTTGGTGGTCCATTTATCACAATATAGGTGATGTAGAACGCAATATGTCGCCACCGGTAAGCATTTTTCGATCAGACGAGGGCATATGCGTGTACTGACATTGCCATCAAGATTTGGATCATTACTTCTGGACGACCTCCAACACCGGACGCGGACGCTGTAAGATGGTTGTTCAGAGAGGATACCCCTACGCAGCCAGACCCTACGCAGTCGGACTCTAGTACCTCAGAGTCCACTGAAGCAGTGCGCCCTAACCTTCGGGGTGGAGGCGGTTGGGTACACTCAGAACTGTTCAAAGATTATTCGGGATTAACTCATCCTGCCGATTGGCTACAGCTGCTACGTGCGCAAAGCAATCATCAGACTATACCATTCCGTTTCAAACCTTCTACGCGGGCAAAGACTCAGCGGAAAGATGCACTTTTCAGCCCCAGGAGACTACCGAAGGCTCACGTCCAGAATATACGGGAACGAATAGACTATGATGAATCTCTAGCCAACAGACTCGACCAAGAATGCAGAGGCCGAACCAGTCAACGACAGAGCTCAGGACTCGCTTACCCACCGCCATTAGTTGTCCGTACAACCTCACGCTTTCGTGAAAACTACATGATTGACGGCCCACGGAAACACGACCACGATCGTTTCGGCGTACCTATCCGCCACCGCAGCATCAGCGCATCATCTCACGCTACCTTGAACCACGACTTGGACGACAGTCCCCATGTTAGCTATAGTCTCCGCGGTGGCTGTTGTTCTTGGAAACCCGTTCAGCTCCCTGTGCAGGCTGTACCACCGCCGTATACTACACTGCGGGCGCGTGAGCGGAACCAGCGCCGGCGACACTCGGGTTCTCGCTCACAAGATCAGTGCTGTTATTGTTGCAAATTCAAGGTAGGGAATAATTGGCGTTATCGCTTGTTTCTAACGTGCCGTTGGAATCGCTTTTCTACTGCTATTGGGGAGATGTTTGATCCGTGAGGCATGGAGATATACAAGGCGAAGAAGGGCACGGGAATTTTGCTGTGTTGAAGTGGGCGGTATCTCTTCTGGGTTAGGAGATAGGGGGAAGACTATGATCGTTTGCTGTTTTACTTGCTTCAAGTAGACTATGAGGTAGACAATTGGAATGCTTTCAGTCCCCTGTACTGAAGTTGTTCTTTGCTGGTTGTGTGATGTGTGATGTGTGAATACGATGGATTGATTTATGAGAATGTTGAGTAGGTAAGCCACGCGTGTTCTGTTTAATGTCTTATCTAGATTACTTATCATCTCGTACATACTCACATATATTGGCCATCAGCGCCTCCAGGCGTTGGTTGAAGGCTTGGAGTGAGCTGTTTTCTTATCACATAAGAGGTAGTCTCGATTATTCGTTATTTACCAAGTATTGGTAGACTGATAAGTTTAACAAAGAAGAAAAAATCCCTGCTGTTAGTGTTATGAAATCAGCCGTCTTCTGATCTGATCCAATAAGTAACATGGGATGCGGAGGCATTCCGGGTAGATCTGGTGTGAATCTCAAAGTGTAGTAGTTATTGGAACAAGGTCCCTCTAGTAGTATGACTACTATGGATAACCGAGTGGGAGGAGGGACAAGGCGGGGTAGCTGCAACGTATTGTATTGATTATCGTGTTTAGTGTTTCAGACTCACGCTGTTGTGGTGGGTGCTATTGCCCACCAGCGTATCATGTGACTCCCAAGCACCTTCTACCCTGGACTGAACTCAGATATTCTCAACAGTAGTATATATTACATATACCATCACGTAGACACAGTGATCGTTTCGGATCATGGTATGCGCCATAACGATGAACTCCCTGTCATGCTAGACGGAAGAAATATCGATTAAAAGATATTGACTAGAGCTCTACCGAGCCTTTTCACATTGTGCCTCCTACTATTAGTGTCAAAATTATCCACGACATTGTGAATACGCACTCAAGCCTGATCATTGATATCTTGATTCGCAATACAGATAGAGCATCATCCATCATCATCGTCATAATACTACTACGTATCGCAGTCCGCGATCCAGTCCAGTCCAGTCCAGCATGACTGCCTTTCCTTCCTTCCCAGTATCCCAGTATCCCAGCGCAGCACACAGATCCAAATCTTTCGCCCCTCAAATGTAGATGTGGAAAGTCTCCACATGCCTAGTCCAGCCACACCCCTTAACCGACCGAAAGACAATGCTAGCCACGCACAGACAGATTGAGAGAGAGACAGAGAGCGCCAGTCGCCTTTTTAATTCCAGCCCCCACACCACCCGCTGCGATAAAAAGCATAGAAACACAAGGTGCTGAAAAGCCTGAGAGACGCAATGGTTGGTTATGCGAGGCGTCGCCAACTAGAGACTGGTTCGTGAGGTTCAGTTCGCGAAACGTCTGCTAGATTCGAAGCGAAATTAGCACATGTTAAACCGAGAAAGAAAGAAGGGGGTATCAGAGTCTTGTGGGGGAGAAGAGGGAGGGGAAGATGGTGCGATCAAAGGGGGAGCTTTATGACTCGCCACCCGTTGATGCTGCTGCACCTTCACCCGCACCGCCCCTGAAGGACCCCCTTCCGCCACGGCCTCCACGAGCACCGCGCTCCCCACCTCGGCCGCCACGTGAAGTACCGCCACGACCTCCGCGACCTCCGCGACCGCCTTCGCTGTCTGAGGCGCCTCCGCTTCGGTAACCGCCGCCTTGAACGCCACCACGGTTGCTCGCCTGCCAGCTTCCGGCGCCGTACCTGGGCTGGTTGGCACCAGGGCCGCGCTCGTTGTAGATCTTGACCGTCTTGTTGTCAGGCCCGCCTCTAGCGTTCCTGATATCATCCGGCACACGGCGGAGCGCACCATGCATGTCTCCGGGGGTAGCGAAGTGGGCGACATAAAAGTGCTTGATCTTCTCCATCTTCTCAACTTTGGACCTGTCTTCCTCCGCTAGCAGGCTCTTGGCTTCCTCCTCGTCCTTGACACCGGCGATGAAGAGGCCCTTGCTCTCTTTCCGCTCTGCAGGTTCCCGAGGAGCAGGCGAGGTGGCGCCCTTGTCTTGCGCACCTGCGCCGTTGGTCTTGCCCTCGCCTGCGTTAGCCTTGTCCGCGTTCGCTGGAGTGTTGTTGCTTGGGGGCTGCGGCGTGGCGGCCTTGAGTGGCTCCTTGGGGGTGGCGGCCGGGGCAGGGGAAGGTCCAGTCCGTGTGGGCTGAGCACCCGCTTTCTGTTGCTGAGGAATGGGTGGTGTTGCAACAGCCGGACGGGGTTGCTGGGGAGCACCTGGTGGTCCGCCTTGACGTCCTGGCGCGGGAGATGGCTGGGCCGAAGGACTGGGGTTCACCATAGCAGGGGGGCCAGTGCTAGTGTTTGCCGCTGCAGGCTGTGTCTGGCCTGGCACGACCTTTCCACCTCGGTGGGCGAAGTTGAATCCCTGAGCTCTCATCTCGGTACCGATCCTGCCATTGTCAATATCCAGAACAAGCCATCCATAGGCAGCATCTGCAAGGTTAAAGTTCCACATGTTCTTGAAGGCGCTCTCATCGATGATGCCACTCTGGGGACCAGGGGCCGGGCCTCCAAAGGGATTGCCGCCGTTCGCTACGGTGGGCATCTTGTTCACAATATCCAGTGCTAGGGCAAGTAGACGCTGCTGGGACTCGCTGTCGGCGACTGCAGGTTCAACCTCGGACTTGACAGTCTCCCAAACATCGCTGAATGAGGCCTTGGAGGCTGCGAGCTTTCCGCGGTAGTGGTCGAGTGTGGGATTGACACTGAACTCGTTGTACGAACTGCCATATCTGAAATGCAGACCAGCAGAGACGGAGAAGTCGGCCTTCAATGTCACTGACAACTGGTTGAGCAGACCCTCACGTGCGGGCGATGCATGGGTGACGAATATGCGGGTCTCAGTCGGGTCGTATACGCGGTTGGCTGTGTCGACGAGTTCTCCCATCTGTAGTAGCGTAGTCCACATAGTGCCTTGGCCACCAGCAATGGTTGTCCGGCCCTCGCCGTTGTCAAAGAGCTTGTGCATGACGACAGCACCGCCCAATCCAAGTAGTCGCAGCTTAACACCGCCGACATCGAGTAGTCGCGAATGTGCCTCGTCAATGATGTGCAGGTTGTCCACCTTGTACTCGCCGGATCGTAGCTTCTCCAAGACCTGCACATCCTCGCATGCGCCCCATACGGTGTATACTGGCACATTCAGGGTGTAGGTCTTGTTAAGGAAGAGTGGCAGTTCTGACAGCGGGAGATGCTCGCGGGCGAAGCGTTCCTTGATGGGAGGTTGGGGTGGCGCTGTTGCAATGGAACGCTTGACCTGGTCTGAGAGCAGCGGGGAGTACTGAGCTACGTGCTTTAAAGTCCTACGCCAGTCAGTTTCAGCCATGTAGAACGTCCAGTGTGCGTGTAACGTACTTTTCGGCGATGCGATCAAGCGAGCGGTCGTCATAAAAGCCAAAGTCGCCAGTGTGGATGATGTAGTTTGCGCGTGCATCGGCAGCGAGCTGATTGAGCGATTGCAGGTTTCCTGACCATTATCAATATAATTCCCTGTACGCAGTATTGATGATGGTGCTCACCTCGGACGTCAGCAATGCACAGCACTCGCACGCTTCCCTGCTGAATCACACGGCCCTGGTTGGGGAGGAGCGGGACAGCTCCAGGCGCTGGCCCTGAGGGACCACCTGGGGCGCCGCCATTAGGAAGATAATTGCCCGGGTATGGGCGCGGCTGGTTGGGAGCTTGCTACACCATGTTAGTCTGCGTGTCACATGTTGTGATGATGTGGGTGCGGCAATTGCCAGACATACTGAAGCCATATGGTTGTAGGCGGAGGGGTCGAAGTAAACGAGTAACGTGTCCGGCAAAGGATACAGGCGGCTTGGTCTTGGGGTGGGGATGGGTTGGGGTAATTACAATTTCAGTGTAGTAGAAAGAAGGTAATAGAGAAACCTCCTCGTTTGTGATGGCAGGGGCGTGTTTGTACTGTCCGCCGTTGCTCCTTCTGTTTTTGCTGAGAGCTCTTCCCACCGCACAGACCCCAGGCTAGCGCGCTATCAAGTCGCGTTGGAGCTGTCTGGACTCCTGTACCTTCCTCTCCTTCCAACTCCCATTGAGCTCTGCAACGCCTTTTCACCCGTTGGGTTTCCATCTCACGATCTTTTATATCCGCTCTCTACTCTATTAGCTTTCTCTGATTTTCGCCGCATAGCACAATGCGAGTCCACACACCCACATCATGGCTGCAGGCCCTTCAGCTCCATCTCCAAGCTACCCAGCAGCTCACCATCAAACCTAGATGAATGCATCGAGTGTGATGGCTCTTCATTGAGCTTCATCAAAGTACCAGGCCTTTCAAGCCCACTTCTCACTATGCACATCGGAAGCTATTCCGCGCTCTGATGACGCCTACGTATACTCCCAGATCTCGTCTCTGGGACACTCACTACATTGGTCTACCGAAGCCATGCCACTCTAGCATTGGTATTCCACCATTTGCGGCGCATTATATCCAGCCTACCGTACTCTGGCGACCTCTCTCCCAAGGCCACTGACTGCTCCGGCGGCGCTGCAGTGTCATTGGCTGAGAGCGCGGCTTACATAATGCGCTGGACCCTGGAACTTTTTTTTTAGTTCCATGTCGGAATCCCCACCTGCGACACGCTCTTCCCTTCATCTGCAATATTAAAAGGTCTTCGCTGCACTGCGAAAGATCACCAGAGCCTTGCTTTCTACAACGCTACATTGTGAGAGCATCGCCATGGACGAGCAACAATTCGTCCAGCTGCTTGAGAGCCTGCTGCAGCGTATGTTCGCCAACCCCGCCTGTAGTGCCTATCTGACATTTTTCCAGCCGACACCGAGCGTGTCAAGTCTGCCACCTCAACCCTCAACAAAAACTACTACAACTCTCCCGCCTCCTTGAACGCCCTCCTTCAGATCCTATGTGGCCACCCCAAGTCTGAGCTCCGCCAATTGGCTGCCGTAGAGGCCAGGAAACTTGTGACCAAGCACTGGGCTAATCTGCCCGCGGACCAAAAGGCTTCCCTCCGTAACCAGCTGTTCCAGTTCACACTAAACGAGGATGTCACCCTCACCAGACACTCGGCTGCTCGTGTGATTGCTGCTATCGCCGCACAGGACTTTGAGGATGGCGAGTGGGGCGACCTGCCCGGATACCTCCAGCAGGCTGCTACCAGCCCAACAGCCCGACATCGCGAAGTTGGTACATATATCATCTGGACAACCCTTGAATCAGTCGGTGACTCCTTCCCTGGCAAGTCGTCTGATCTCTACAAGCTTTTCAGCACCACCATCCAAGACCCCGAAAGCGTAGACGTCAGGATCAACACCATGCTTGGTTTGAGCCGCCTGGCTATGCTTTTGGAACCCGAAGAGGACCCCAAGGCACTGGCTCTGTTCCAAGAGTCTGTTCCCGCCATGGTAACTGTCTTGAAGGCTACTGTTGACGAGGGTGACGAGGACCGCGCCATGCAGGCTTTCGAAGTCTTCCAGACTCTGCTTGGCTGCGAGTCTGCCCTGTTGGCAAAGCACTTTGGCGATCTCGTCAAGTTCATGCTTGAGCTTGCATCCAGCACAAATGTCGAGGACGACTACCGTTCCCAGGCCATTGCATTCCTCATGCAATGCGTTCGGTACAGGAAACTCAAGGTGCAGGCTCTAAGGATTGGCGAGGAGCTCACCCTTAAGGCTCTGCACATTGTCACCGAACTTGGTGACTTGTCCAGCGAAGAGGAGGATGTCACTCCTGCCCGCTCCGCTCTCGGCCTCCTCGATATCCTCGCATCTAGCCTGCCTCCCAGCCAGGTGGTCATCCCTCTTCTCAAGAACCTTGGCAACTACTTCCAATCGCAGAACCCTGACTACCGTCAAGCTGGTATCCTGGCTTTGGGTATGTGCGTGGAGGGTGCACCTGACTTCATCGCTACTCAGCTCAACGAGATCCTGCCCATGGTCCTTCACCTGCTTGAAGACCCTGAGCTCAAGGTCCGCGCGGCTGCGCTCAACGGTGTTGCTCGCCTGGCTGATGACCTCGCCGAGGATGTTGGCAAAGAACACGCCCGCCTTATTCCTGCCATGTTGAAGAACTTCGATCTTGCCGCAAGCAATATGCAGGGTGCGGAAGACGAGCGCAACCTATCCATCATTCGTGGCAGCTGTAACGCCATTGACTCTCTCATCGAGGGTCTGGAGCCGGAGGATGCTGGAAAGTACGTCCCAGAGCTTGTTCCTCGCTTCAGCAAGCTCTTCCACCACGAGGATCTGCGCGTCAAGAGTGCTGCCATCGGCGCTGTCGGCTCCATCGCGTCCGCTTCTGAAAGGGCCTTCATCCCCGTCTTTGCACAAATCATGCAAGAGTTGTCGCCCTACGTCAGGATCAAGGACAGCCAAGACGAGCTTGACCTCCGCGGTGTCACGTGTGATTCCATGGGCAAGATCGCCGCCGCCGTCGGTCCTGAACCGTTCGAGCCATACGTCCTTCCTCTCATGGAGGCTTCTGAGGAAGCACTGCACCTAGATCATCCCCGCCTCAGAGAAACCAGCTACATTCTTTGGAGCACAATGGCCAAGGTGTACGAAGAGCAATTCGCTAAATACCTACCTGGCGCCGTCAAGGGACTTCAAGACTGCCTTGAGCAAGAGGAGACTGGCCTTGACGTCGAGCTTGGCGAAGAGGCTGCTGATCTTGTCGGATCTGAAGTCACTATTCAAGGCCGCAAGATCAAGGTCGCGGCGGCAAGCGATGATGACGATGATGATGACAGCGACTTGAACGAGGCTCTCATGGCTGAAGACGACGAGGACTGGGACGATCTTGAGGGTGTCAGCGCTGTTGCCATGGAGAAGGAGATTGCCGCGGAAGTGTTTGGCGACATCATCACCCACACACGCCGCGAATACCTTCCCTTCATGGAGGCAACCGTCACAAAGCTCCTGGAGCTGGTTGACCACTCCTACGAAGGCATCCGCAAGGCTGCTCTCGGTTCTCTGTGGCGCACTTTCGCCTGCCTCTACGGCATGTCTGAGACTGACGGTATGGCGAAGTGGAAGCCTGGTCTTCCCCTCGCTGTCGAGATACCAGATGAGCTGAAGAAGCTTGGTAACCTCGTCATGACTGCCACCATGACCATCTGGGAAGACGAGATGGACCGGTACGTATTACACATTTCTTCAAATTTTCTTGCAAAGATGACACAACTGTCGTTAATCCCAGCTCACTCCGATGCACAAAGTGCACTTGAGGTGAAAGCGAATCTACTACTGAGCAACCATAAACTCAATCAAGCGTTTCAATTCATGTCGGAGAATATCGCTAACATTGTTCAGGAGCACTGTCACTGACATCAACCGGGATGTTGCTGCCACACTCAAGCTTTGCGGTCCTGCAGTCTTGTTGACTGAAAACGGCACCGTAGTGCCTCAGCTATGCCAGCATCTCCTTGCTGTCATCACCAAGCGTCATCCCTGCCAGCAAGATCTCGGCGACGAGGCTGAGGAGGAGATTCTCGACGAGTCATCAGAGTACGACTGGCTCGTCATTGAGACGGCGCTTGAGGCCGTTACCTGCTTGTCCGTCGCCTTGGGCCCACAATTTGCTGAGCTCTGGAAGATGTTCGAGAAGCCAATTGTCAAGTACGCCAGCAGCCAGGAATCCACCGAGCGTAGTGCCGCGGTGGGTTCGATTGCCGAATGCATTGGCAACATGGGCGCTGGCTGCACTCAGTACACCAGCGGCCTCCTCAAGTTGCTTCTCCACCGTCTGTCAGACGAAGACGCAGAGACCAAGTCCAATGCCGTCTACGGTATCGGTCTTCTATGTGAAATGACAACCAATGATGACGAGATCCTCAAGTCACTCTCGACCATCTTCTCTAAGCTTGAGCCTCTGCTCGAGGCGCAAGACCAAGCACGTCTTCTTGACAATACTGCTGGATGCGTGAGCAGGTTCATCAGCAAGCATCCCGACAAGCTGCCCATTGCCGAGGTGCTTCCCCGCTTAGTGAACTTGCTCCCTCTCCGCGAAGATTTCGAGGAGAACAAGCCCGTGTTCGGCATGATTGTCAAGCTCTACCAGCACAATGAGCCGACTGTGCAACAGCTCACCCCTTCACTGATGCCTGTCTTCGAGAAGGTGCTTGGCCCACCTGAGGAGCAGCTGGAGGATGAGACGCGCTCGCAGCTCATGGAGCTCGTGCAGCATCTGCGCAAGTAAAAGGTTTCGTTTACTAGGAGAGGTATACCCGTCGAAAGACACCACTGAGGGATTTGGGCATGATTACGCATGAAGGCACAGGTTAGTTTCACTAGACCATGTAGTAGAATGAAGTTATGGACATGATAAATTTAAGGTTAATATGTGATGAGTGAGATGATGCGGTGCCAAGACGACTTGTTGATCGCACATCGTGTAGTGCAACACATGGGTGAATAAGGTTTGTAGATGGCTCGCATAATGGTTGTTGTTGCTTGTTCGTGCCTGGTACTGCATGATCGGTCGACGATGGGTGGGCGGTGGCTGAAGCAGATGGCAGGGGTTGTTGCTTCTGGTGCCTGGGCCGTTGCTGTCGCGCCTTCCGTCAGCGTACAAGCGTCTGGGGTAGTGACGTCTGTACCTAATGCCGATAACTGCCTCGCGCTCGCGCCTCACTAAGACTAAGACAAACACTTGCACTCACAATTCACCAGCGCGCTTAATCCCCACTCCCCATCAGTTTTTCGCGCTGCATCCGTTTGCTATTGCTTAGTTATCCTTTCGCTAGCGCACTTTGTTTGTAGCTCCAGGCTCCCGCGTCTCCCAGTTACCGCCGACACAGCTATCGACAGCTTCATCCGCACTTCGGCCCGCACCGCTATCGACTCTACGCCCGACCTCGACGACTTGCTCTGACCTGACCTGACTGACTGCGATACGACAGCCACTAATCATTACTTTGTAGAGACTGTCAAGCCAAAGGCAGAAACGGCTTAGGCCCAAGCCGTTAACATGGTGCAACAACGCCAGCGAGGGTGGAAGGCCATGACACTGGGTCTGGTCTCCACCCTCGCAACGGCGGTTGTGGCTGGACCAGATCTGACGGTCAGGCACGAGAAGGGAAGGTGCGCGATCCGAGGACAGTGTGGCAAGCAGAGCTTCTTCGGATCAGAGCTGCCTTGCCCCGACAACGGTCCGGCCACAACACCAGCCGATGACGTGCGCAAGAAGCTGGTCGATATCTGCGGCGCGCAGTGGTCCGACACGGATGTCTGCTGCGACGAGGACCAGCTCGACGCCCTGAAGACGAACCTCGACCGTGCCACACCCATCATCAACGCCTGCCCGGCCTGCAAGGAGAACTTCTACAACCTGTTTTGCACCTTCACCTGCTCGCCGGACCAGTCCACCTTCATCAACGTCACACAAACCCAGCCCAAGGGAGATAAGTACCTAGTGACAGAGCTAGATAACCTCGTGGCAGATGAGTATGGATCGACCTTCTACGATAGCTGCAAGGACGTCAAGTTCGGCGCGACAAACGGCAAGGCCATGGACTTCATCGGAGGCGGCGCAAAGAATTACACCCTGTTCCTCAAGTTCCTCGGTGACAAGAAGTTCCTGGGCTCGCCCTTCCAGATCAACTTCCCGCGTCCGAATGAGGTCGACTTTCCAGGCATGGACGCCATGAGCAAGCACGCCTACCCGTGCGATACCGACGACGAGCGGTATCGCTGCGCATGTCTCGACTGCGGAGGATCCTGCACAGAGCTACCAGAGGTCCAAGAAGACAAGCAATGCCAGGTTGGCCTGCTTCCGTGCCTGTCGTTCGCTGTCATTGTCGTCTATTCGTGCTTCCTCGCCCTCCTATGCGCCGCCGTCGCTGGGCACATCGCCTACCAGAAGCATTCCAGGCATAAGAGCGAACGAATGCGCCTCTTGCAGGACACGAGCCCCAGCGATGACGAGGATGAGGGCGATATTGTCCACAACGTTGGCATGATGGACCGTCCCACCAAGCACTACTTCCTCAACACATGGTGCGATCGGATGTTCAGCCGTCTTGGTTACGTCTGTGCTAGCTTCCCTGCCATCACCATCGTCACCAGCATTCTTGTCGTCGGCTTGATGAGCCTGGGATGGTTCCGTTTCCAGATCGAGACCGATCCCGTCAACCTTTGGGTCTCGCCAGACTCTGCTGCCGCCCAAGAGAAGGCTTTCTTCGATGAGAAATTCGGTCCCTTCTTCCGCGCTGAGCAGGCTTTCCTCGTCAACGACACGTCCGAAGGTTCCGGTCCCGTTCTTAGCTACGAAACCTTAGACTGGTGGTTTGGGGTTGAGAACCAAATCCAGCGCCTGAAATCTTCCCAACACGGTGTGACACTCGACAAGGTCTGCTTCAAGCCTGTTGGAGACGACTGCGTTGTCCAATCAGTAACTGGCTACTTCCAAGGTGACTTCGCCAACGTCTCGCCCACAAGCTGGAAGGACGACTTGCTGCAATGCGTCGACAACCCATCTTCATGCCTGCCTACCTTCCAACAGCCTCTCGACCCACACCTTCTATTTGGAGGCGTGAACGAATCCGTCTTGGACGCCAAGGCCCTCGTCGTTACCTGGGTCGTGCAGAACCATCCCAAAGGCACACCGGAAGAACATCGCGCCATGGACTTTGAAAATGAGATGAAGAACTACTTGAGGTTCGTGTCTGATGAGGCTCGTCAAAAGGGCCTGCGGTTGAGCTTCAACACCGAGGTCAGTCTTGAACAAGAACTCAACAAGAGCACCAACACGGATGCCAAGATTGTGGTCATCAGCTACATCATCATGTTCTTGTATGCCTCGTTGGCTCTCGGTTCCACGACTCTTACTGTGCAGTCTGTTCTTCGCAACCCGGCAAATGCTCTGGTACAGTCCAAGTTCTTGTTGGGTATAGTCGGTATCCTGATCGTGTTGATGTCTGTATCCGCCTCCGTCGGATTGTTCTCCGCAGCTGGTATCAAGGTCACTCTCATCATAGCAGAAGTCATTCCTTTCCTTGTCCTGGCTGTCGGTGTGGACAACATCTTTCTCATTGTTCACGAATTTGAACGCATCAACATCAGCCATCCAGAGGGTACCATCCCAGAGCGTGTATCGCGTGCTCTTGGACGCATGGGTCCCTCAATCTTGCTCTCTGCGCTTACTGAAACCACTGCGTTCGCTCTTGGATGTGCTGTCGGAATGCCAGCTGTTCGAAACTTTGCCGCGTATGCTGCCGGTGCTGTCTTCATCAACGCGATCCTTCAAGTTACCATGTTCACCGCGGTGCTTGCGCTCAACCAGCAACGCGTCGAGACGAACCGCGCCGACTGCTTCCCTTGTGTTACTGTCGGACGTGCTGACGCTGGCTTCTTCAATGGAGGTATGGGCTACGGTGCTGGCGAAGAGGGTGCGCTACAAAAGTTCATTCGCAAGACGTATGCCCCAGCGATCCTTGGAAAGAAGACCAAGGTCGGCATCATTGCACTCTTCTTCGGTATCTTCACAGCGGGTGTTGCCTTGTATCCTAGCGTCGAGCTTGGCCTGGATCAGCGCATTGCCATTCCTAGCGATTCTTACCTCATTGATTACTTCAACGATCTTTACGAGTATCTCGATGTCGGACCACCAGTCTATTTCGTTACGAAGGAGCTCAACGTCACCGAGCGAAAGCCGCAAAAGGAGCTTTGCGGACGCTTCTCTACTTGCGACCGTGAGAGTCTTGCGAACATTATCGAAGCGGAGCGGAAACGCCCAGAAGTTTCGCATCTTGCAGCATCGGCCGCGAACTGGCTCGACGACTACTTCCTGTGGTTGAACCCTGAGAACGAGAAGTGCTGTGTCGACGACAAGGGCAAGCCATGCTTCCAGGATCGTCAACCTCCTTGGAACATGACTCTATCTGGAATGCCCGAAGGCGAGGAGTTCATTCATTATCTGCAAAAGTGGGTCCAAGCGCCTACTACCGAAGATTGCCCTCTTGGTGGAAAGGCTGCTTACTCCGACGCTCTCGTTATCGACGCAAAGCACCTTACAATCCCGGCTTCGCACTTCCGTACTTCACACACTCCTCTTCGGTCCCAACAGGACTTCATCTCCGCGTACATTGCTGCGCGTCGTATTGCAAATGAGATCTCCAACGACGTGGAGGCAGAGGTATTCCCATACTCCAAGTTTTACATCTTCTTCGACCAGTACACGTCTATCGTTCGTCTCGCTGGTGCACTCATTGGTTCAGCTCTGGCTGCCGTATTCATCATCACGAGCATCATGCTTGGCTCCATTATTACCGGCCTAGTCGTAACGCTCGTCGTCGGTATGACCGTGTCCGCTATCATCGGCTCCATGGCTTTGATGGGTGTCTCACTTAACGCCGTGTCACTTGTCAATCTCATCATATGTGTCGGCATTAGTGTCGAGTTCACAGCACATATCGCCCGTGCCTTCACCTTCCCCAGCCGTGCAACCATGGAGAAAGCCCCAAGGCATAAGTTCCGAGGCCGTGACGCCCGTGCGTGGACTGCAATGGTCAATGTAGCGAGCAGTGTGGTTAGCGGTATCACCATCACGAAGATCCTAGGTGTGGGTGTCTTGGCTTTCACTAGGAGCAAGGTATGTATACCTTCCGGGTGACATGAAATACTTGACATACTGGTGTATACAGGCCACCGTATGCGCGAGACACTGCTTACCCACACTGTCAAGTATCTTATGTTGCCCAGTTGCTTCCAACATCATCGTATTACATATCCACTAACCTTCGTTCTAGATCTTTGAAGTCTACTACTTCCGCGTCTGGGTCGCTCTCGTCCTCTGGGCCTCCACCCATGCCCTCATTCTCCTCCCTGTTCTCCTCTCACTCATCGGCGGTAAAGGCTACGTCGACCCTGAATCTGAAGGCGGCCTGGAGCAAGACCTCCGCCGTCGTCAGTACCCCGCGTTGCTTGCCGAAGACGACGAATACGACAGCGACGACTAGGAGTCTATTTCATACCGTAGCATCGCCAATCGGTGGAAGAGGTTTACGGAGGTGCTCAGCATGAAGCTTACGTTAATCTATATTTGGATGTTGGAAACATGGATTTCTTTTGGTAGGGCGGCGGTGGCGGTACGTGATTGCTTGTGTGAAGGTGGGATTGAGCAGGTTGAGGAGGAGCGATTTGATGTGCCGGCAAGACCGGCTCATGTTCGACGTCCTCGTGCTTTCAATGTGCAGGCACTTACTGATGCGCTTGCGGTTGTACAGGAGGAGCAGGAAGGGTGGGAGGATGACGATGAGCATGATAGACCGGCAGAGAGCTCGTTTGTTAGCTTCTCTCCTTTGTCAGATCCACCCTCTTCTGAGTAGTCTGCTATCATCAGTTGCTTGGTTGGTAGGTTAGTTGAGTGTAGTTTGAGCGCCTCGGTGGACCAAAAGAAACCATTTGCCGCATACAATACGATTTTATTGTATGATAATACTATACGTAGCCACCCTTTCTCCCCAACCGTGACTTGCGCAATGCGTATATCAAAGCTTAGAAGCTGGACTATGCTGACGACATGATTCGTGGATGATGTGATGGACACAAATGTGATTACATGTAATCGCCTACCCAGCATTTTCTATAGACTTTGAACATGTTTTTTGACCTCATTATCTTATAACTAAACCATCCTATCTTTATCCAATCGCCATTTCCATTTCATAAACGCACCCCCGGGTTATGAAATACTCGATATACCATTGTACAATGCCCACTGTAGTCGACAGACCACACCTAACAGGTGCTTAGCCCTATACTGGCAGGGTGCATTGACTGACGCTGCTTGAATTCAGGTGCCGATGCGTTGAGTATGCTAACTGGCGACTTATGAACACGATGATTGCGACAGTTAGATGGTTGATTAAACAGCAGCTCGCGCAGGGTAGCGTTGAAGCTAATGGAGATCAGTGGCATAATGCGCGATACGGGTCTGCACCAGTATATTAGACTACTGTCAGGTAGCCTAAGCCATAATAATATAGCAGCAGAATCATTCGCATGTAGGACCCTACAACGAACCATCCAGACTGGAAAACACCTTCATCTGCGTGTCAAAAATACTTGCCTCGGCTGTAGCCTTGAACTACCAGCAATACGTCAACAGTGATAAGAAAGCCGACTATTGCTACTGCCCTGCTTATCTTGCTCTTTAACAACAGCAGCATCTTTCCGGTTATCTGGAGTAAATTTCTTTTCAGGAAACTGGTGCAGCTGGGAGGGATTCGGTGCTGAAATGGATACGATAGCTGTCGGATCGTGAGTATCGGTAGAGACGTCGGCTGCTGGACACTTCGGCCCGACTTCGGCCCACCTTGCGCAGAGCTTAGGTATACCTTCGTAGCAGCTATGTTCGTAGACAAATAAGAACAACCACCCGAACAGAATGCATTACTAGTTATCGTTATTTCCCTTTACGCACTTAGTGCAAAGCCAACCAACAATAGCTGTAATTTGTAAATGGATGTAGGCGATAAGGTGATGTCTCTTGCTCGCTGTGAGAGATTGGTGGGGTTGGGAGTTGCTGTTCTATTGGAGTTGTTGGTTAGTCTCGCAATGGGTCGGGCGTTTAGGATGAATTGGGATGCGAGATGGTGGAGGAAGAGGGAGTGGAGCGTAGTTGAGAGTGTGGAGCTAGTCTGATTCGTACTGTATAAACAGACCGGCGCAGCACACGTGGAGTCGTAGAAGAGGCAGTTCGCTAGGATGCATACAAATACTATAATTAATTTAAGTAGTACTACTCTTAGTCGATTCATAGGTAGGAGACGGGGAAGTGGGCATGTTTGATTTGTGGAGAAGCAATGCGATATATCTCAAGCTTCTTGTGCCTAAATTTCTACTGGGCACTCACTTAATGTGGAACGTATTTTGTTTCATTCTAGGAAAATCAATTCTCTGTCAATTTCCTATGGTACATGTCCTCTCTTTGTTGGCGGTCTAGAAACCCTCTGTTTGGAAGATCTTCGATAGCGCGTTACTGTTGCGCCACTGTCGTCTCGCTTCCTAAGTAACCTAGAAGAGTAGCAATCCTGAATTTTTCTTCGGGATTCCGATCTGCCGCGAACTCCAAAAGCGTTATGTCATCTCGTAGTCTTCGAACATATGTTCTAGCGCTTTCAACCTCTTCCTCATATAGTGTTTCAGAATGCACGATATCGTCGGCATCTGCAGAGGCTATCAAGGGACTCAGACATTTGGACCATATCTTTACCTCAGTCCAGAGTAGAGTGCTTGGAATTTCCCGGATTTCAGTCCCTTCAGTTGCGAATATTCGATCCAATTTAGAAGCGATACATTTTGCCAGTCCCTTCTTCATCGCGTCCATTTCATCGACTATCCTGTGTATCTGCGGCGAGAACTTGTCGTATGTCTTAATAGCAGTTTCGAACTTCTCCCTGCATGCGCGTAATTTGTAGTAAAGCTCATAAGTTCACGGAAAAAAATTCTCGTCATATTGGGATTGCGTTTTGTCCACAAGATGAAGAGAATGGGGAAACAGTTATCCTATGGGTGAAATAGATCTATATATACCGCTTCTCACTATGCTAGAACGGGTTTGTTACTAACACGCTTTCGATATCATGTGGTAAATGGGGGTTGTCAAGTGACCATAAACTATTTGCTTGATGACATGTGCGATGTGAGGTAGCAAACTAACAATCCATGAGTCATCCGATCTGTGCCAAATTTGTTCCTCAGCATATACCCGACTACAAAAAAACATGACTATGCTCTCACAACAATTCTATATGAAAACATTAGTACCTAGATATTTTCCCAATAAGCCCCCAAACTACCGCACCCGAACGATTACAGCGACTCCCAACTTCATCCTGACTATCCAATTTCTGACTTCGAAGACCGCCATCTTGACCCCCAACCATCCAACCATCCCCTCTTCACTTCTTTCCCCGCAGCGCCTCTTCCTTCTCTTCCCTCTCCAACAGCCCCCTCACAATCGTCGCCGCCTCATCAAATTTCGGTGTCCTTTTTCCCTCTCCCCACCTGAATCCAGCCTTGATCAAGAGACTGCAACCCCTATCAATCTCGCCGATAGCATCGGAAAGAATGTCTAGCCACAATCGCCCTGGCCAGTCGTCTCGGTTTAACACGTTGAGAATGTGTACACCGAGCTCGTTTTGTATCTCTAATGTACGATAGCCTTGCACAGCGAGCGCCAGCTGCTGCCGAAAGGTTTCTGGTTGATGGGAGATGAAGTCGAATGTATTGATGGCGTTGCGGAGTCTAGGGATGAGAGAGGAGATTTCTGGGTAGAGCGTGCTGTAGGTAGTGTTTGTCATGGTGGATGTGTGATGAGGGATTTGGGGGCATTAGGTTGGGAAGTGAACTTATATATGTATTCGTTAAGAGTGATTTGTTATGTCGCAGTTGCACCGAGACAGCCTGTTTGACGCATACAAGTCTCGCATTTCCAAGACAATGCGTGTAGGCCAAGAATATGGCAAACGGCAGAACATCTTAACGTGTCTCACCACCACTACCGCTCTTTACCTACAGCGGCCTCTTCATCTCCGCAACCCACACCATAGCCTCAAATCGTCTCAATGACTGATGCATTTGGTGAGGCTGTGTAGACTGGAGTCTAGGAGTTGCATGGAGGCATGGAGGCCTGAGAGTCGATCCGCTCGGGAGTTCATGTTCGCTGTATGCGACGATCTCGGTCGTTCTTAAGACCGGGTTTGCGATATGAATGGGTGATGTTGAAAGTTGGTTGTAGAAGCCAAATACTACTGTAGAACAAACGATGGCAGAATCTTCCGGAAACGACAGGAATACGAGTTGTAATAGTCTATGGAAGCTGGCCGCGCCGATCCAATCGTTAGCCTTCAATTGAATCGGTGTCGTGTTTAGTGAAGGATTGGAACTCCCAAATTGATGTTCTTGTGGCGATCAATACAAACTTTCGAATTAGAATTTCTAATTACCTGGGTACTTATCGGCAGGCATGCGTATTTGTGATAGTGCGCTGGTGGCTCCTGTACAGCTCTCAGTCCGCCTTCTCAAGCGCAGCAACTCTCCCCTCAGCACATCTCTCCGCCGCTGCCCGCCGCTTCGCAGCACGTACTTGGATCGCACACCATGCCACCAACACTACTCCAAATACCATCATTGGAGCTGCCAACCATCGTACCGTTGCCTGCAATCCGTCAGTCATAATGAGGAGCTATGAGAAAAGGTACACATACAAGCTCAGTGCAAGCCCTTCCTCTTTCGCCCGGGTTTTCAGGCGTGATGGCTGATATAACTGTACATGCCGCAACTTCACGCGTACACGTGAAGCGCGTGTTATACGTGTCAAGAGTCTCCGGTCGTTGACAATTTTTCAAGATGTAGTGTTGTAAGATATAGGACAATATGGCTGACGTAAGAGTACCAAGGACCGAAAGTACCGAAAAGACAAGGGCGACTTTATGACTCGATTTCGCTCTAGAGCCGGCATCCTACACAGCACAATCCCGTTAGCTTCACGTATACCAGCCCACCGCACACACCGATTCAAACAACCGCACCATCGCTGAACTTACCCTCACACCCACAGCCATCTCTCCATACCAGAAACCCCACACTCCCACCGCACCAGCAACAACCCCCAACATAGCCCTCACTACCGCAAGCCTCTCAGTGAACTCATTGTACTCCCAAGTAACCCACTGCTGTCTCATCCGCTGCTCATCATACACCCCATCACTCCCTTTCCAAATATACCACTCGAGACCGGGAAGATACCTCTCCAACGACCATTTCGCATGGCCCGCGAGACCCAATGTCACCAACGACGTCAGCAGTAACAAAACGCATATCGTAAAGACTATGCGACGCGATATCGACCACGCCGCCGCCATCCTAGCCTAGGTGAGTCAAGGAAATAGATGGTAAAAGAGGAAGTAAAAGTCTTAAAGAAAGGGAAGAAAGAAAAGGTTTCTAGAAGCCTAGATATCACAAGCGAGATTCGATCGAGGGAGTATGTGCAACCCTAGCCATAACCCCCCTACGCTGCCGATCCACGCACACGCGCATGCCTAAGTGGGCAGTGCCAGATGCCCAATTCCCAATAACCCACCATACAAAGCACTAAACGCATCTCACGCGCAAGTACCGGTCAACTCGGCTCTGCCAAGACCGCGCAACGGTGAAAAACCCCATGTCGTCTGGTTAGGCGTTCCGTTCCGCTCGTTTCCGCACTGCGCCTTGCGTACACGCGCTGGATGCCTTGCGAAGTCTTACCCACCTTCTCAGCACCGGCGGGTGGCAAGACTGGCTGAGAGTGTTATGGGGTCGCAAAATATATGCATAGAGGCTGACATATGCATTGGTTTCTGGGGATGCTGGATGGGTGGAAAAGGGAGGGTGTGGTCGGTGACGATGTTGGGGGTGTGTTATGTAAGCATAAGCATAAGCTTGGGCGCGCGCGTGGCCCCCCAGATCGCTGCACTGCCACTGCCGCCGCGTTTTGGGGCTAGCGGTGAGAGGCTGGGGGCCGAGTCGGATATTGCGATGATCTGCAGGCTACCTGCAAATTGAGTTTCTGACAATGCGAATGGAACTTGGAGGCGTCTAGAAGGATAAGTGAGGCATTTAGTAATTCGACATTGGCGCGTTGAGTCACCAGTAGGAGACAGTGAGGGAGTGAGTGTTTTTGCTTATTTGGCGTGAGATTTCGAATTGATCAGGGGAAGGGCGGCGCAATTCCACTCTGCAAAACCAAAAAAAATCCGAATGTCATCCTCTAAGAACGAATTAAGTCAAGTTTCATATAGCGGTAACAGAAGGGGGGGTCTGGCGGACCTGAGTACAGCACTCATCCCCGTCTCCACAACCCATTCTCACCGACGTCCCTCCGTCCTTCCAACCTCCACTGTATCCCCCAGGGCATCCATCTCTCCCTCATCAAACGCATGCCTATACTTCGTCGCATCCGCGGTATATGTCGGCGCCTCCTGGTACCCATCCCCTGTCATCTCAGGTCTTTCATCGTACGGATTCGCGGCGTCTTCGGGGTTGCTGTATAACGATACGTTGTGGCGTTTCGACCGATTGAGGATGTACAGGATGGCCACACAAGCGATCGCGATGACGGCAAGGCCGCCGACGATGCTATCGGCGATTACGCGGTGTTGTTGTTAAGGAGTTTGGAACTAGTAGCGGCGGCGTCGATGGCGGAGGGTGGGAGCGGTGAGGAGGTAGGTGTGGTGAGGGGGTTCACGAGGGGGTTCGGGGTGTTGTTTGAAGGGGAGATTGAAGGTGAGAGGACGGTTGATGCGTCGGGGGTTGAGGTTGCTGAGTGTTGTTAGTAAGGTGGTTTGTGATGGTTCCAGTGAGAGTATTGGCGTACCGCTTGCGGGTAAGACCTCGTAGACACTTATTTTTAGAGCGTCATGTCGGCCTGTTCAGTCGCAGTAGATGCGTGTTGAGCTGATTAGGCACTGAGAGATTCGAGTTTTATATCGGAATCACATGAGCCGTAGGAACCATCGCTATGGCGACAAGTCAGCAACATGAAGGTGGCTGGTAAAGAACCAGTGCAAGCTGACCATGTACTACTCTTCCCACCGGGGCCGTATACAGTGGTTCCTGAACAACTCGTCCAAGCCGAGCATCACGTGGTAGTAAGCGCAGCAGTTGTGCTCACCATTTGTTTGAAACGCCGTCGACAATGGGCATTTCTGCCAATAGTTATCTGAAGTAGATAGATAGCTGTCTGCTTTCCAGAAGCTTGACGTTGCCCCTATATCACTACTAGTCACTTTTCACACACGTCCACTTCCAGAAATGTACGTACACAGCAGTGGCATCATCCAAAGTCCCAATCACAAGTTACCCAACCGTAATGAAATCCGATGCGGCATACGAGGCAGAGTCTTGCCTCCGAAGTATTGCAGGAGGTGTCGTCAACGACAAAGGGACATGTATCAACCCACCAGCCGCAAGGCTAATACTAGCAAAATGTAAAAAGATCGTGTAGCACATGGTAAGACCTAGCGATTAATCCACCCTGCAGTACCGTACATACATACAAACAAGAAGGAGAACACGGGGAAAAGGAGCAAGAAACGAAGCAACATAACCAATCCCCCATCGCTTCCCATAATTATCAGTCCTAGAGTCGATTCATGTAAAATCTATCCCCCTCCCTCCCCCCCAAGATAACGTCTCAGTACAGGACAGGTACGCCTCGAATATTTCGAGATCCTAGTCAATATCGAGGGTGGCGGTTGATTGGAGTCTAGGCAATATGCGGAGCGTAACCTGACAAGCCACAATCAACATGTGACAGAGATTCATACTGGCCGGATGGGGTGCGGGGCTGGCCGTATATGGTTTGGTTGGCGCCGACCAGTAAGGGCTCCTGTCTCAGTAAAATGACTGTGATACATGGGACTTGTATCAACATTGTTGTACAGTTGTAACGGTACGATCGCCATGGTAGACTACTGGATCTTGCCGTCTCGGCTATGCTCAGTGCTGATGCGTTGTCAATGCTGTGTGTCACCTTACGATATCTCGATAGGATAGACGATGGCTGTGCGAACCGCTGATCTAGTTTGTATCATCAAGTCCAGTCTCAAAGACCGAGTGCGCGAATTTCGGGGCGAAGAATGGGCGACAGTCATGGTGGAAGGCGTATATCATTACTCGCAACAGGTACTATCTCTTTCCTGCGATTAAAAGCAAAACCATGTCCCAACTCTCTTGCCAATCCCTTTCCAGCCCTTCTCTACAGGCTCCATATCTTCTTTTGTATACACATCCGTCTCAAGATCCATCTCGCTTGCCTTTCTGAACGTCGTCTTCTTCAAAACCTTCCACACAACAATCATCAAGAGGAAGACTGGTAGTTCCAGGTAAAAGCTGACAAAGTCCACGGCCGCAAACTTGGGACTAAATGCTGTCCAGCCTTGCACCAGGACGATGAAAATGTTAAGAAAGATGCAAATGTACGGACCCCAGGGGTACATCCAGTTGCGGAAGGGAAGAAGGTGCTCTTTGCCTTGTGCTTTAAGTCCTGCGCGGAATCGGAGGGAGGAGATACCGATGCATATCCAGCTGAGTTGGTTTGAGACACCAACGATGTTTTGCAGCCATGTCCAGACTTGGCCAGAACCCGCGAAAGATAAGGAAAAGAGGATGATGGAGACCACACTTGTCGTCATGACGGAAACCCATGGGACTTGGTAGCGTGTCAACTTTGTAAAAACCTTGGGAGCATGGCCATTTGCGCCGAGTGTGTAGAGTAGTCGCGATCCAGCGTATAGGGCGTGGTTGCCAGCAGAAATGACGCTGGTCAGGACGACTGCATTGACGAAAGATCCTGCCGCTTTCGAACCTGCCATTTGGAATGCGATAGTGAACGGCGATGTCCGGCTCGATTTCGTGCTAAGTCCAGGGTAGTTGTAGGGAATGTTGAATCCAATCATCATCGCCGAGAGGATGTAAAAGAGCAAAATGCGCCAAAACACATTCTTGACCACACGGGGAAGCACACGCGCCGGATCGCGCGTTTCTCCCGCCGTGATAGCAATCGATTCCGTGCCGCCGTACGCAAACGAAGCCGTGACGAAAACCGACGCAAAACCTCCAATACCACCCACAAACGGCGCATCCCCAATGGTCCAGTATTTCCCACCGATATACCCGTACCCAGTATTTCCCCCAGCGTTGACCGCGATGCTGAGCAGGATAAAGATGACAATCGTCACCACCTTCAGCAAACTCAGCCAATACTCCAACTCGCCATAAGCCTTTACGTTGATGATGTTGGCCAATACAATTAGTACCCACACCGCAATACCAACCGCATACCACGGCACATCATCACTCCAATACCGGATTAACAACTGCAACGCCACCAGATCCGCCGCTGTGCTCACAGCATCGTTGAACCAGTAATTCCACGTCAGCGCAAACCCAAACGCATCATCCACGTAGCGACCGGCGAAAGTGCAGAAAGACCCTGCCACTGGCACAAAAGCAGCCATCTCACCGAGAGACAGCATGGTGCAAAAAACGATGAATCCGACAATCGCATAACAGATGATCAGCGACGCAGGTCCGCCAGTTGCAAGAGCTTTTCCAGTACCGAGGAAGAGGCCTGTTCCTATGGTACCACCGATGGCAATCATCTGCACCTGGCGTGCGCTGAGGGAGCGTCGTAACCGGTCTTCGTTGATGACATGTGACGTGTGTCGATCCAGGGAATCTGGCGACGACGCCGCAATATCGTGGGTCCCTTTTTCGGCATCCAGAGCGGTGGCCATGGTTCAGGTAGGAGAAGGAGGAGGTAGGAGGTTGTGTAAACGACACAAGCAAGCAGGCTTCAAGAAGCTTTTACAAGCCAAAAGCCTAGAAGCAACCTTACCATAACTATGTAACATGCGCCACCCGTTCGCGTGCATGGCAGCGATCATTGCGCTTTTTCGCGCTTTGGGCCCGGTAGCACGCCATTTTGCTGGCTGCAGATTGGGCGGGGTGGGGAGGTTAGAGGGCGGGACGACAGGTTCCCTCTGAACGCTGGTGGGGCGACTGGCTTGGCATGTGCTTGACATGGCTTAGCGCTCGTATCCACTCGGTGGACCCCGCCAACATCGAGGCTTGAGTTGTGAAGATGGCGTCATTGCGAGACCCTGCGATGATCTTTGTCTTGACGCCGACGGTGGGTATATGTGAAAGTTTTTGATGGAAATTTTCGTCATGTTCACAAATGCGTGTCATGAGTTGGAAATCTAGAGTGTGGATTTCTCCATCTCTCAGTACGTACGGTGGGGCCTAACAAGCTTCTTACTAAGGCAGACGACAACGTCAACGTTGACGTCCTCATATCTTACTAAGATAATCAACTACCGAAAAGCTTAATCCAATGCTTACGGTTTACATCAAGCAGACACATCCAAGAACATTTCCCTCATCCATCCATCTCACAGTCCTCAAACCTTCCCATCTCCCTTCGCTTTTCCCTTCGCCATGATCATAATAAACAACTTAGCTTCGTGCTCAATCTTTAATGCAGTTAAGCACCAGAAGCATAAAAATGTAAACACCGCAAAGCTTAATATACAGCCAAGTGAATGTTAGCGGGAATCGTTTCACCTTCGCGGAAGCATTCGTAGTCTAGCCAGATACTCTCGTTGACAATTCTTTTCACTCAGCCTAACGCTGTGACGAGGGTTGGTACTACGAGCTGTTTGGTGACTTGGCAGTGTTCGATGATGGCTTTTTGCTTGGTGGAGAGCGAGAGCAAGTGGTGTTTTGGGTTTTTTCTTGCTGTTGTGTTAGCTCCTGTGAGGGAAGGGAGGGAATTTGGACAGCTGGGTAGTGGTCGGGGGTATTTTGGTTAGTAGATGATTTACCCTCTGCGCGTTTGATACTTTTGTGGGTGCGAAACTTCTTCATCCAACTGTTGCACCCCAGAGCATTCAAGGTATAGTCGATGAGTTGTTTTTTGATTTCGTTAGTCGCTTCCGGGTACTCGTTATGAGTAGATCTTTGCGATGATGCCATTCTTATAGAAGCTTGTTGAATCCTTGTTTCGTAAATATAGAATCTTTCAAAGAAATAGATGAAATTCATATACTAAATAGCCAAAACTAAGCGCGCCAATCGTGAGAGTGAGGTAACAAGGGGTGGGTACCAGGAGTAGTACTACCCCTCCACCTACTGCACGGACCACCACCGAGCCCCTCCGCATCCTTTCGCTATATACACCCCAGCTATCTACTACTGACCAAAAGGGCGATTGCCGATACAGCGTGTTTGCCTGTGAATCTTTTCATTCGTTAGATATATCCCTCGGACGTAAAGAGACCTTGTCTCACCTGAAATGCCTCGATCCAGCACGTACCACAGCACAGCGAACCAAGTCGCTGATTTCGGCACTTAGCGATCCACCTCAGATGATATCAATAACATATCGGGGATCGTCTGGGTCATCCCGTATGAGCTCGATATACTCTTCTGGTCCAAATCGTCCCGATGCTCTCGCACCATGTCTTCCAAGTCTGAGATAGCATCGTACCCAAAATATGGTGGCTCCGTTCCCAGTGGCTCTCTCTCCGGACCTACCCGAAGCACACCAACTCTGCTATAAGTACCTTTTCGTCCAGCCACGGGAATGAGCAGAAGACACCTCATCCCTAGAACCCACCACCTCCATATGGGTACCACGTAAACGTCGTAGCCAAGTGAATAGTCGTTTGGAAGACTGTGATGACGCTCCGAATCTTGGTAGATGTCGCACATGCATCGTTTGTCATGGAGACGGGCGGAACCAGAAACCATTGTGTCGCCATTGATCAAATCCCACCATAGCCCAGGCATACGATCACCTGCTGTGTGTCCGTATATTGTAGCCCGTGATATGAGGCTGCAACTAAGGCGCAGTGTGCCGGAAATGACTTGTCCGAAAAGATCGGGTCCGCTGGCCTCGATGTGGACACGCAATACTTGGGCATATAGAACATCGATGCAGCGATTTGGCGTTCGAAGATAATCCCTAACTTGGGAGTATAGAGAGCTGTCGAAGAATCCGGCTTTGTCGGGTTCAATTCTACCCTTTATCTGGGCCCAAGACCATGATGGAGAGATGTAATCATCAAAATCTCTCTGTAGTCTTGTGTCAAGAGAATCATCTTGATTGTACCAACAAGGCTGTTGCTCTAGTTTACTTCTCCATAGCCCTGCCACGTATTGGTCACCAGTCTGATCGTGTACGTTTCTTGCAATTCCTGAAAGGGCAACTAGCCTGTCCTTTGGAAATGTAAAACTCATCTTTGTGTATTGTGGTAGAGGGATAGCCTCAATAGTCAGAAGAGAGGCTGCCGACCCGCAATCGGTAGAGAGTAGAGAACAAGAAGGTATCCGAACAATGAACGGTAGTATTAAGAATGGTGTACGATCCCTGATGTCGAGCTCCTCCACGCGGAGTTGCCCTAAAATACTCAGCCCTAGCGCCGATTACCTAACGCCGAACACGTGACAAGTTACTACACCACAGTATTCTTCAATGATCCTTTGCCAGTTGATGTTTTCAAGTGTTCGCACATCAACGTTTTCATCGTGTTTATTAATAGACAACTCATTGGGAAAGGTTTCACATGCAAAGAGAGTGTTGCATTGACAAACCACTTCTGACTTATTGAAGTGTAGGGTTCTTGGTGAAAGAATCCGTTCTTATAATGCCCAGCCACGGCGTAATAATGGTGAAGAATCATCATTGCGTCCACTTCGGCAACCGAGCCATCGATCTAAACTACAATATATCGGTTGACCTTCGATTTGGACTATATAGTGTCCTCTCCAGAAAGGTTTTCGATCAAAGAAGCAACCAACGGTTCCGTCGATTGCGCCCGTAGCTGCGATGTTGATCGTCGAGCCTCCGTATACAGAACTCATTAGTGACGCTTCTCGTGCCCAGTCATGTGGATCATCCTGGACGATGTATACTGTGAGGGAGTATAAGTGGTTAGGTAGATTTTTTTGGCCTTGACGGGATCTTGATTTTTGGATAAAAGTGCACTGTAGGTACTTACTACAGTAAGTTAGCTATATCACCTTTTAGTTAGGTTTAAAGCGAACCGAATAAGGTAATATATGACTGAGGCTGTTTCTATGAAATAATTCCAGTCGTACCGTGTATCGATCCAAATATAGAAAATATCGAGAGTAGCCGCTATTTCTATTGCATCTTTGATAGAACTTGAAAGAGCACTTGCTGGAATCTCGGTTTTAAAAGAGCTAATTGCATCGGTTGTCAACGTAGTAAACGAACTTTGACCCCAACAGTGACTTAAAGTAGCATAGTGCCGTACGTTTAATAGATTGTCGCCGATACATAGCCGGGGACTAGAAAGTTTCGTCGAAACCAGCCTTGTAGACAGGAAACCTAGTGTTCTTTTACATCGTGGGTGTGATTGCGTACACCTAGTCAGCCAGGCTTTAGCTTGCGGTAGAGCATCCCTAGTGTTACCGGTCGTATCAACTCTAGGAGGGGTATCGGATGCTATGTATACCACAAACGTCATTGGAACAGTCGTTTGTGGACATAACTTACGTAGTAGCGATGTTTTGGCCAGGTAGATCATCAGATTACCGTACGTGGTGATCCCCTCATCAGGTAATTCGGTAGGGACTTTCGTAGACATTCCCAGTACCGTTTTTGCAGAAGATGGAACTGGAACCTTGTATTTCAGGTCCAGGGTAAGCATGTCAAACATCGTGGATGAAGCAGACACGATAGATCCTTCACACGCAGGCTGCTCACCTATCGCTGACCGAGGCAAGAACTCAAATCTTCCCTCCAAGACCTCTGTAATGGCAAAATGGCACAGAGAACAGCCTTGCGAGGCCGAATCCTTCATATCTTTCCAATCGTTGTAATACAGCAATGGGGTTGTACGGTCAGCCGAAATTGATCTGCAAAACCTGCAAAGTCCTCCGCGTGTTGCATCAACATCTCTAAAGATCCCACGAGATACAGGTGTAGTGTACGCCTTCTCTCCAAGAGTCTCAGAATCACGCTGGGTCAACCGTGGCCAGGGTGGCCATGAACCGTCGAATACTCCACGAGAGTTAACAGCAATCCGCCCTTCCCCAGCATTCCCACTGGCCCCCTCCACGCGCACCACTCCATCTCTTGCCCCATTCTCGATTTCTCCGCCGTCCGTCATATCGCGCGCTTGCCTCCCCGTGCGTGTCCGTAACTAGCGTAAAAAAGAGAAAAAAAAAGAGCACGCCGCAGACTCTCGAGTTAAAAATCCAAGAAACAAACACGAGACATTCAAGATGCGGGGCTATTCAATCAAGATAAACGCTGCCTACTGCCTAGATGGCTGTGCCTCATACCTGCATCCGCCACCCCGACCCCTGTCAGCCAGCCTCTCATTAGGAAGCAGGCATGCAAATCTGTGTCGTGCGATATGCGAGTTTGAGGCTGATATATTATCTTGCGCGCGCGAGCTATCAAGCTTATAGTTGCGAAACAAACTTGTACGCCAACAAGAGTGATGCTACAGGGTGATTCGTGACGCTGAATTGCCAAATTTTCTGATCATACGGTTCAACTCCACACGAGCACCATGATTGCCGAAGTCTTATCGTCTGATATCATAACAACATGATGCAAACCAGATTACCGGTCTGTGTCAGGTTAAAGCGGGATGGAATGATGTAGAAAAAATCTGTAGCAGCAATGTTGAGATAGAAAGGCGAGGCAAGAGCTGAAAGCACGAAGGAAGGAAAGTGGAGCCGATTCTCGTCAACGCCAAGACAACGGGCAGCAAGTACAACACAACATTGATTAGAGTATTGTACGAAAAGTCATCATCATAGATAGCGTAGTAGAAGTAAGTAGCTCTAGCGACCGTCCCATCATACCATGAGGGCCCATATCATCACCCCCTATACTATAACACCCCAGCCACGCATACCAAGCACAGCGCCCATCCCATCCCATTCTTTACCACACCTCCAACTGTACCGAAAGAACCGAAAAGAGAACAAGAAAAACACCATCACAAATTCCCAATAACAACCATAAACCTCAATTTCCCATCCGTCTTCTTACTCGCGGCCGGATTAGCATCCGCCAGGGTATCATCACCGCCACCAGCACCACCACTAATAGTAATCTCATCCAGCATAAGCGTGCTACTCTTCCAGCCCCAACTCTGACTGAAGTTGAAGCGATCGGGTGCGCTTTCGTAGATACTCAGCATACGTCCGCCCTTGGAGGGGCTGTAAATTTTGAAGTAGGTTTTGATTGTAGGACGGCCGTCGACGTAGGGGGGTAGGGCGGGGATGACGGGACGGGTTCTGCGCTGTGCGCGGGAGGCGAGGGACGGGTTGGCGTAGGCGGCTGCGTCCGACTCGTCGTTGTCGGAGGTGTCGGATTCGTGTTCGGAGGGGGAGTAAGGGGCGTGGGCGAAGGAGGGTGAGTCTGCGGTGTCTGCGTCTTGAGGCGAGGGGGAGTTAAGGTTCTGGAAGCCCCATTGTGAGATGCCGCGGGTGGGTAAAGAAGGGATGTGGCTGGCGCGGTGACGGCCTAGATTACTGGTAGAGAACAGTGGGTTTCGTAGACCGGGAGAGCCCATGGTAGGGTCGGGATCACCACCGCTTCCAGATGTATCTTCCTCGGCCGCAGGATCCATGAACGGGACGCGAGTGCTGCGTCGTCGATCCCGTCGATCGCCTCGCATTAGTACCTCTCGCTCCAATTGACCGATACGTTCATCGACCGATCCATTGCTCTGCTGTATTAGAGTACTGGAATGACTGCTCTCTTCCACTTCTCGTTCCTTCGCCCGGTGCAAGTAAACACCGAGCTGAACATTCTTAGCAGAGCGAACCTTTTGAATGTAGATGTTCCATAGAGAGCCTGCATAGGATACTGTCCTTGAGTATACACGCTTTTTCTCTTTTAGGAAACGCGGGTTCGGGAACTCGGCAGAGAAGCGGAAGGGCGGAAACTCGGTATAAGCAATGGGCTTGGGTTGTCCGGCATTGCCACCACCGGCGGAGATAGGACGCGGTGCAAAGTCCATACGGGTATTTGGGTTAGTCAAGGTTGACGGAGTAGAGGCAAAGTCGGTAGCCCATTGTGCGTCCTCTGGCTGTATGGTGGCAGATAGACGCGACGCATGGCGCTGGAAAGAGTTGGACGTAGTGACGACAGGATCAGCACCGTTGCCAAGGACGATGTTGCAGTCAGAGCTGGGTATCCAGAACTTGCGCGGCTTGCCATTACCATCCCAGCTATCCGACTCGATATCGCCGTCAACTTCAGCTTTCGTCTCGACCTGCTTTCCTTTGACTGTCATTTCGCTCCCACTCTTTGTCGCAGCATTGCCTGCTTCGGGCGCCGGAGGTGTCTGGCATAGGCCTAGCTCCTGAGCAGACTCATCAGTGTTGAGCACCCTCTGACGGAGAGCGAGCTGCTGCCACAAAGCGTTGGAGATGACTCTCTCAGGCATGACCGGCAGTCCGAACACGTCACGAGCGTTCCTAATAAACTCAAGCTGCTCATATTCCATGTGAATGTAGTGTATACCTTCATCCAGCAGCACGAGTATGCGCTCAACGTCCGGTAGGGTATAGAGAGTGAGCCAGTCTGCCTGCGCATCTGATGAAGAGTTTGCAGTTGTCAGGGCGTTCTGACGATAGACACCGTCAAAGCGAACGGCCATCAAGCGGAGAGAGTTGGGTGCCTGGGGGATAGGCTTCTGGCCACGCAACATCAGGCCAGCCTCAACAGCAGCATGTCGTAGACGACGGTCGAGAAGGCGCTTAGAAAGTACCCATCTATCCCATTCGCTGTGAACGAAGAAGCCGTCCGACCCTACGAGCTCACGGATGATGTCACCCGGCATGTCGTCCCAGTACTTGATTGGCATCTCCCAGCCATTCCTGCTGAGCATAGCCTTTGCAGACTCGAGTATGCGGTCGCCAGATCTTCCGTAGTAGTTGGATGTGACGAGTCGGATAAGATAGGCAAGCGTTTCCGGGGCCATCTGTCTCAGGATAGATTCGATCGCCGAGTCAATCAGGTCCTGCATCTCCAACCAACAACCCGTCGCGAACAGGCCAATAGCTTCCGCATCCGACTCTTTCGAAATGTCGACGCCATAGAGTTTCCGTATGGCCAGTTCAAACGAGGCTTGTGTTATACTGGAGTCGATCTCCTCGGGATGCAGAACAACCTCCTTGGACTGGCTTTCGAGCCATGGCTCGGAGAGAGCGGTGGTGAAGAAGGGGGCGCGGTCGAGGATGAGACGGTGCAGGGGATATCGCTGGCCAAATGCTATAATGGTGATGTCGGAATGGCGTCCTTCGAGCAGTCCGCGAGTGTAGAGGTGGTCGGGGAGGGGTATTGCTTCGCCTGAAGCTGACAATGTTAGCCTTTGCCCTGCTCAATCTGTGTTGAAGAAATTACCTCGCAGGTAGAGCGGGCCTGTCGCATTGTTGTAGGACGGCGCTCTTGACCCTGATACGGCAGCGCTTTCGCTGAACAGTCTGCTTATGTCGGTACGGACAGCATGCTCTGAGCGCATCAGGTCCAAAGTGGTGCGCCGCCTTCCCTGTTCCTCGAGTGGTGTAGTTGGGTCGTCGGCGCTCTTCTGGGCCCGATCAATCTGCGTCTGCAGTTGGACGATGGGCGCGCGCTCGTCCGAGGCGTGCTGTCTTGCCGGTCGCTTGGCCATGTTTACATGGTTCGCTAGCGAGGGCATGGAACGCGAATAACTGAGAGACCTGATATGACTCGCATGCGTTCCACGACTACTGCCAACGGGCTCGGGGGGTTCAGAGGGAGGCAAGGCGGGTATGTCTGGCGAGAAGAGACTGACGTAGGGGGTGCTACTCGAGCTTGCGCCTACGCCTCCTTCTGCACGCTGACTCTCGCCTGAGGCCCATGTCCCGCTGCGATTCAGCCCACCAATCTGCGCTTGGTCTTCATGCTCGATGTTGCTGCTCGCGTGGGTAGTGGGCGGCTGATGAGCGGAGTCCATGCTATGCTATATGCTGGGTTTGAAGTACATGGGGGGTGAAGTTTGGTCGGTGTGTTTGCGACAAATACGCCCTGGATGAGATGGAAAAAGAACCAGTCAAAGCCGGAGAATTTGGAGGGACGACAAGGTCACGCACACAGGTGAAAATGATAAAAGTCGCACATAGGGAGCGGCGGAGAAGATGGCAAAAAATCACGAGTCGAGGCTGGGTGCGTCACGCTGTCGTGCTGGCCAACGGCGATCTTCACTATGAAGGGTCCGGTGATGCAGTTGCGGTGATGCGGAGTGGGTCGGGCGCTGGACGTCGCTTCCGCCTGTCAACCTGCGATATGCAGGGATCTTTGCTTGGCGTCCCGCCGGCGAACCACGGAAAAGCCAAAGTCAATGACATGATCACTTGAGTCGTTCTTTCCTCCCTGCCAGAGGTTGCTGCCATGGCTTCAGTATTCCAGGCATTCCCGCAGCTGCGGAGTGCTGCACCTCGACTCTCGCGCCGCCTATTCGTATCCAGACCATGCCTCAACTCGCCGATTCGATCTGCCGTCTCCGCTCCACGATCTTCGTCCCGACCCTCTGTCTTGCAATCGGTGAGATGGAAATCGACCCAGCCGTTGCGGAACAGCGCCACTATTGATGCGTCGAATGCGGGGAGAGTCATACTGGCGGAAGAGGTAGCCACGACTAAGGGAAAATCGAGTACCTTCCCAAATACCAGCTCCAAGAGCGTCGCATACTGGCTGCTGGGTAGTGCTGCGAGCGTTTTTGGTATAGTCGTCTTTGGAGGCTTGACTCGACTCACAGAGTCAGGGTAGGCACGACCAACACCTCATCCCTCGCACCTGCTAAGTTTCTCAGGCTGAGCATCACCGAATGGCGTCCCGTCACTGGCTCACTATGGCCAATGAGCCAGGCCGAGTGGGATAGCGAGTTTACAAAATACAAATCTTCGCCTGAGTTTGCACAACTCAACTCTGGTATGGACATGGCCGACTTCAAGCAAATCTACTTTATGGAATGGGCTCATCGACTATGGGGTCGCGTCATCGGTGTTACTTTCCTCCTGCCCACTGCTTACTTCATCGCCCGTCGTAGAGTTGCACCGGCGGTCGCATGGAAGCTCGTTGGTATTTGCGGCATGATTGGCTTCCAGGGCGCCATTGGCTGGTGGATGGTCAAGAGCGGGCTCAAGGACGACCTCTTCGAACCCGGCAGCCACCCACGTGTCAGCCAGTATCGATTGACTGCTCATCTTGGCACTGCTTTTGCTGTCTACTGCTCCATGGTCCTCACTGGTCTCTCCATCCTCAAAGAACACCGCATGCTAGCGGACCCCGCCGAAGCTGCCGAAACTATCAAAGCGCTGCAGCACCCCGCTCTCCGTGTCTTTAGAGGCTCTGTCGTTGGTCTTACTCTCCTTGTCTTCACCACTGCCCTCTCTGGTGCCCTTGTCGCCGGTCTCGATGCTGGTCTGATCTACAACGAATTCCCATGGATGGGCCTTGGACTAGCACCGCCCAAGAAGGAGCTGTTGGACCCCTTCTACAGCCACGTCCCTGATCAGTCAGATCTAGTTTGGCGCAACATGCTTGAGAACCCTTCTTTCGTTCAGCTCGACCACCGCATCCTCGCCACCACCACGTTCACTGCCATCATGTCTCTCTTTGCCTACACCCGCTTTGCCAAAGGCGTGCGCGCAAAACTACCAAAGGAAGCTAACAAAGGCGTCCAGGGTATGGTCCATTTGGTAACTCTACAGGTCACCCTCGGTATCAGCACACTCATCTACATGGTCCCCACATGGCTAGCTTCCGCCCATCAAGCTGGAGCTCTCGCCCTCTTGACCGGCGCGGTTGTCCTCTTCAGCAGGATCACTCTGCCTCGACGAGCCATACTGCGTCAGATCATGAAGCCGCACGCTGCTAGAACCCAGGCTACCCCACACATCCACTCGCGTCTCGAAGCCGCAAAGGCAGCCGAGAAAGCATTGTAGCATCGCATCGCATCACTCACACACCACTTACATTCACGTGAATACTTTGTACGATAGATATAGAAGAACCAATTGCATTTTTGAACTTTGTATATTAGAAAGAGATCAAGAAGATATGCAGCATGTAGGAAATCCTCCACTTTTTCCAACCCTTCTCTCTCTCTCTTCGTCGACGGACGCGACTGAGCTCATGCAAAACGCCTGGAATGATATGAATGCAAGGAAACAATGCACGCTTGTAGACGGAGTGGGTATCTGTCTCAGAAAGGACTCTCCGTCGTCATGGAAGTAAACCTTGCCGAACGCAATCAAGAAATGGAAGAATGAGAACAATGAAATAACAGGAACCTCGCAGACCCGCTACCTGGCTAGCCGACTGGCTGGCTGGTTGGAAACGATGTTTGATTTTTTTGAACTTTTGAACTCTGGTGGTCTGTTGTTGTTGTTGTTGTTGTTGTTTGTGTGAGGTAAGGCTAAGAGGTTCCTTTGTTGGAACCGGTTGAGTGCGTTTGAGTTTTTGAGAGTTTAAGCACTTGGCGTATTCGTGTGGAATTTTGGGCGAAAATTCGTATGTTTTTTGGTGTTGTGGCGTTTAGTTGGCGTGTTGACGAGAGTAGGTAATTGTGAAACTCGTGTCGTTTGTGAGGTGAGCGAAGAGGTCGAAAAGTTTGGTGGTAGAGGTTTTTTGTGGAATGGTGTGGTAGGTGGTTGTTTGGTTTGGTTCAGGTTTTTGTGTTTTTTTGTCTTTGGTTTGCACCTGTTGTGGTGCTTGCGGGGTGATGAGTCTGAGCAGGACTCTCCGCTCTTTCTGTTGTTTTTGTTTCTTCTGTTTCGTTGCTCCTCTCCATCGCTTTTTGGTATGTTGTTGTGTTTTTGACCTTCGTAGTCCCCAGCTTTTTTTCTTCGTAGTCCTGATTGTTTTGTGCTCCGTAGTCCCCGCCTTTTGGTCTTTGGTATGTTTTGGTTTTTGTCCTTCATAGTCCCCATCTTTTTGTCTTTGGTGTGTTTTTGGTTTTTTGTTCTTCGTAGTCCCCGTCTTTTGTTTTTTGTTGTGTTTGGTGATTCCCCACTGGTTTCGTCCTCCGCATTCTCCCTGTCCTGTTGTGATTGTCCGATTTCCCCGTGTTTTTGCCTTTGCCACTTCCTTCCTTTTCATCTTAGTGGTTCCCATCTTTTTCCCATGTTGCCCATTCTCACATCTTTTCGCTTTGTGATGCTTTTGATGCCTTCCACATCTTTCTTATCTCTGCCGCCGTCTCAGGGTTTTCCATGTTTCCCACAGTCGCCTGCTTTTGTTTCTTTTCCATCTTCACCTGATTCGTTTGGTCTGTCTCCCATACTGATCTTCTTTTGTCTTTCTCCCATTTTGACATGCTTTCTGTCTTTCTCTCATTTCGAAATGTTTTTTGCCTTTCTCCCATTTTGAAATTTTTTTGTCTTTCTCCCATTTTCCATGTGTTTTTGTGCGACTGCCTATGACTCCCCACAGATACACAGCCACTCCTCATCTTCACGCGCCTAACATACCGAGACGTCTCCCGGAATGCTGGCACCTTGCTCTCAGGGCGTCCCCTTCGAGCAAGGCTGGCTACGTGAGATGATTTGTAGCTGTGATTAGCGGGGAATGATAGCAACAGTCGCTTTTTTATCTTAATTTTTTTTCAACTTGATATTCCTCCATGGAGCTTACCAGCTCAATTTCCGCTGATCGCAAAGTTGAATGGTGGCGGTGACCTCGACGCCCGACTTGGTATGAGGATCGGGGTAGTCGAATGAAAGGGCTGCATCAATGCTTGCGCCAGCCGCGAGAGCGCTTGGGGCGGATGTCATCATCTGTCATCTCTACATCGTCGTCGCATGGGCGTTTCGCGCTAAAGCCTTGGGACTGGTTAGCATTGCGGTTCTGCTGAGTTGCGTGGTTTCGATGACCGAATGGCTGGTTGCTTCCGCGGTTTTGCTGGGATGCGGCATTTCCTTGCCCAAAGAATTGGTTGCCGTTGCGGCTCTGTTGGAATGGGTTGTAGCCATGTCCAAAAGTTTGGTTGTTTCCGCTGCTCTGCTGGAATGCGACATTTCCTAGTGTAGATGAGTGGTTGCCGCCATAGCTGTGCTGAGATGACTGGTTGCCATCGCGGCTGTTGTGAGGTGCGAGGCCCTCACGTCTAGTTGCATAGGCTTTAGAGCTTCGTGCTTTCGAACTTCTGAAGGTCTTCTCGCAGTCTTTCTGGAACGCGATCCACCTTTCAGCAGGGGTTTGAATCTGCCGGCCGCGGGAGGACCCAAAGCCACCACTTGGCTGGGTGTTCTGGAATCCCTGAAAGCTGTTGAATTGGCCAAATGGAGATGCAGCACCGCTTGAGATGGCATCTTGCTGAGGAAGTGGGGTTTGCGGCTGCCAGTTCAGTGACCCGGTCTGTTGCTGCATGCTTCGCGGGCCTTTAGGTGCATTCGGAGCTGGTGTTTGGCGCCGGGATTGCACTTTCGTATGCTCTGCTTTGATGCGTTCTTTCATGGTAGCTTTGCGCTCAGGAGTGTTGATGTGCTGTTGGAGACCCGAGCCCTGCGTCCTCGGTGTGGGAAGCGGCTGGCCTTGTTGTGATGCTACTGGTGACTGAATCTGCCCATACCCACCAGCCGTGTTGCTTGGATTGGTGTGTTTACGGGACTTAGAGCTATGCAGGTATACACATCCTGTTCCAGAGCAGTTCTGAACCGGACATAGGACACCCTGCAGCGAGTGATCGTAAGCACACAAATCTCCCTTGTTACATCCCGACGGGCGGTTCACGAACGAACAAGCATTGAAATATTTTGCGCTCTTTGGTCCGTCTGTAGCTGGGGACATCGAACCAGTTGCTTGAGAATATCCAGAAGCCTGATCCTGCTGGTGGATGAAGCTACAGGTATCGCCAAATTTGCAAATTCTGCCCTCGGCGAAGTTCTTGCACACTTTACCCTTGTTCATGTGGGAGAACAAGCAGACGCCGTTGAGTTCTCCAGCGCAGCTATCAGGCTTGTTAACGTACGGGCATGGTCGGTTGAAATTCCCAGATATGACTTGGGAAGGACCTTGAGTCGCCTGTTGTGCCAACTTCTCCTCGGGGGAGAGATGCACGTAACAACACTTATTCTTTTCGTTGAACTTGCAAACCTTGCCTTCCTGGTCTGACTTGCAACGTTTGCCTTCGTTATCGTGGTTGTACTGGCATACGTCTGCTACGCGGTCTTTGCAGCCTTCCTGCGTGTTGACCATCGGGCACGGCCTCTTAGAGAGATCCGACTGATGCTGGACGCGAGGTTGAATCTGGTTCATCATCTTCTGTCGATGATCAAGTATCGAAAGCATTTCATCTATGGCAGCTGAACGTTGATGGCTGTTCAGGTACAATGCAATGCGTTTTCTAGTCAATTCGATGTGCTCAAACGTCCGGTTGCGATAATAAACCTGCCTGAGCAAAGATCTGTCGTTATGACCACCTTCCGGTATCTCTGTGACCAAGGCAGTGATGTTGTCCAAGTAGGTCATGTGAATGTTAGACCACTTTAGAAACTTGTCTTCATCAAAGCTCCAAAAGCCAAATTCACTCTTGTTGGGATCAACGTTGACGTTTTCGTAGCTCTCGGGTGTAAGCACTCCCTGAGCATCTTGATTAGCCGGGATCGTCAGGGAAGACTCGTCAAAGATTTGGAGGATCATAACCTCAGAATCATCCTGCTGTACGGAATCATCTCTCTGCATCGTGTTGATCATATCAACATCAGGATCATCTAGGTGGGCGAGGAAGCTACCCCAGCTACCGACACCGGGCTTTCGATACAACTCGTCGAGATACTCTGACATATCTGCCCGCTTCGGTAGACCACTAGCGCCTCCACTTCCAGAAATGCACCCAGAATCGCCGAAGATGAGAGTCTTCCAGATGTGTTGCAAAGTGTCGTGAACTTCTCTTACAAGATCAATGTTTTCGCAAGGATCTGCAGTCATCCCGATCGCCAAAATAAGCCTCGTGAGGCCCTTCTCGTGACTTGTTCCGAAATTGATCGATTTAGCCAATGCGGATCGCAAACGGTTGGAGTTGCGAATCTTGTTCACATGTTCGTAGAAGACTTTGTATGCCTCATCAACGGTTTCAGTCACTGCTGTCTTGGCCTCAGGATTGGCTTTCCGGATCTCCAGATACTGTAACTCTAATTCGGGAGTAATGACTCTGTCTCGCTCATTGCAGATCGTTTGCATTTGAGGTATCAGGTAACTCACGTCCTCGGCCAAAATATTGTTGCGGAAAGGATCTAGCAGCGCATCCAGCCATGTTAAGTAACCGAGAAGTCGTGCTAATGTTGCATAGTCGTACAGCCCCTCCTTCAAGATATCATTGATATTGGAACTACCCAACATAGGGAAGTCAACATCGAAAAACTTGTGGAGTTTGGAGCGGCATTCGTCCTCGGAGAGTGTCAGATTTTGCAGAACCTTGCGAACCAAAGGTAGACAATGTACAACCCTCACATCTGCCAGTGCTTGCCCATTCAGCTGGGCCACGACGGAGAACTTGTGTTCAAAGTCCGAGACGAAACTCTGGACTTGCAAGTCTTTCAGGAACTCATACGTGGACGTAGTGTGGAGGGCCTTGGGTGGCTTTCGAGCTACTTTGGGCCATCCTGGAAGACAAATCTCGCTCTCTGATCCGTTGTAGAGAAGTAGACCGCAGATTCTCCGAAGAATAATGCGAAGAGTGCCCATGACTTCAGTATCACCACCCGGTGCATGTTCAGCAAGAATGAGCAGCTTCGAGATATCGGTTGGGTTGAGCTTGCTCGCTGCCAAGAGATTGTTGCGAGTCTCATTCGAATTCTCGGCCTTCCAGATCTGGGCATTCCTCTCGTCGATGATTTTCCGGATATCGCAAGAAGTATTCATTTCCAAGCATAGATCCTCCACTGGGAACCCTTTCCTAATTCGACCAAGTGCTCGCGTGACCTTTTGCTTGTCCTCTTTGTGGATGATCTTCTCAAATGACCAGACCAACATGGATTCAAGCAACAAAAGGGCGCGGAGCAAGTTGCTGCAATCTTTGGGTTTTGACCAGCATGACTGGTTGAACCATTCTGATTTGAAGCCATTGGCTTCGTCCAGATTATATTCGAAGGGGAGAAAAACTTCCGCGATGTTGCCCATGTATTTCTTAAACCATTTGGAGATACGCCTCGTGGGGCGTTTGTCATCTTCAGGTTCTTCGGCATCATGATCCTTTATGATGTTCATAAGGCGAGTCCGTATCTCATCCAATGAACCCTCATAAAACTCGAGTTGTGCGACACGGTTCATGAAGTTATCGAGAGCTTCGAAAGACTCCGGAGTACTTGAAAGATCCTCAATGTTGCTGCCAAAGCTGCTCTGACTGGCCTCTTGTATGTCGATGATATCATCGGAAGTTGGTTCGACGGCAACAACGGTAGCAACAGCATCTAACATAACGACGCTGTCGAGAATAGCATTGCCATTTTCATTGCTGGCTGAAGAAATGTGTTCATTCGACTCTGATGCTGGAGACTGTTGCGTGACCGAATCATCGTCGCTCACATCAACAGAGTTAGACAACTGTTGCGCAACTGCCTCAACATCGTCTACCTCGAAAGACTCAGGAAATTCCATAAAGATTCCACTATCTTTGAAGTTGTTGCCATCTTCTTTCACGATATCGGCAGGGTCTTGGGCAGTTGGCTCTTCTACAAAGGAGACAGCGGTATCATCGTCAACGTTGCTTCCAGAACTGCTCTCATCGTCCACTTCGACAGTAATATCAGTGGTCGTTAGCGGCACCTCCTGTTCAATATCAACTGCCGCAGGAGTGAAAATTGTAGTGATGGCCTGGGTTGTCGGATTCTGAGAGGTAGCGTGAGGGGATGTGGAGGGAGATGTAGAGGGAGATGCGGAGGTGATTGCGACAGAAATTGTGGACGTATCTGCACCGATAGGAGTAGAAGAGGTTGTGACGGGAGGTATTAGATCGACCGGTTCAAAAGGCGTGGGAGGGGTTGCCATAGTAGATGTAGAGGACCATGAAGTCACAGTGGGTGCAACCTTTCGAGGATCAAAGAGGGGCACAAAAGCCTCCACACGCTGGCCAATTTCCGCCACCTTATCCTTCGTCGACCTTTTGGCCCGTGTCTGCCGAGGTATCTGAGATAGCGGTTTGTTGTTCCGCACTTTGTTGAGGTGAATAGTGTCAAGATGTGCAATCTTGTTACAAAGCCTGCTTCCTAGGAATCGATATGCGTAAGAAGCCCTTGCGAGAAACTCAGGCGTCTCGTGCGCCTTGCGAGCATGTTCGGGGTCTAACCCATTAGGGTACGGGAGATAGGTTTTCTATTACGGGACATTGTCAATATCATGCCTTCAGATGATGAACGATGACAGTGACTTACGTTGTCGGTCCGAAGACCCTGGGGAACTGCTAGTGTGGATGATGCCGCGACTATGTTCTGATAAATAGTATTAGCAGCGTCGCGCGGACAGGAGGATGGGACGAGGGCACTTACATGGTGACCAGTGGGAGTGGTAGTTTGATCAAGGTAGGCTGCATAAGTGCGCTTATAACCTCCCTTGGGGGAACCTTCCTTGAAGGGGATGCGGAGGGGGGGTATGCCCGACATCCTCTGGGATGTTTGGGCGATGTCGCACTTGAACAGGAACTGGTGACCAGGTATGTGTGGGTGTGGGTGTGGATGAGTTTGGGGGGTGGGGTGGGGGAGGGGGGGGGGGGAGCTGCAATATATATGTGCAAGAACGGGAGTGATGGGTACGCGGGAGATTAGCGCGTGACGTCAAAGTCGAATAACGCGTTGCCAGTAGCACGTGGTTGATGTGGAGTGGGGAAGCGCAACGGATGGGTGCAAAGGGCGCAGTGGGTGCAGTGATAGGGTAGGCGGGGGAGATCATTAGCGCGTCGTGTAAAATCGATCAGGCGTGGGCCAGGCGCTGTCTTGGCGTTGAGTGGTGGCCGTGAGGGAAAGGTTGTTTATAGTCGCCACGTGACCCAAGGCATTCACCATTTCAAGTTTGCGAGTAACATCAAGGATTTTGGGGGTTGTTTCGACGTAAAACATTCTTTCTATGAACTGGTATCGTGATTGAGGGGCAAAAGACAAGAAACAAAGACATCCAAGACACTGTGTCAGCTCAATGGGAGCTCAAAAGTCATATGTACAAAGTAGAGACAAAGAACAAATCGCCTATCCGCCATGAATGCTCCTCCTTATCGGCTTTACCTTTCTCACTGTCGGCACGTAGAACAGCCAATAAAATTTGTGCACCTCTTCTTCAAGCTTCTTTACCGCCTCGGGTCGGTGGTTGCCGCCCTCAGCTTCAAGCTGTGTCTCCAGTCGCCACATACCCGTGATCTCGTCTTCGCACCATTTGTTCGCCTTTTCATACAGATCATTCGTATCAAGCCATGGTTCATTGGCGTGGGCCAACATGTACTGGCAAGATTGAAGTAGGAATTCAATGTCCACCTCGTTGATCTTGAAACCAGCCATCATCTTTTCACGACGGGCCTTTGCCTATGCGATGCGGATGATGTTATGACGATGGTGAGTTAGCACGAAGATCAAATCCTCCATGCTAGATATCGAGTTGACATCAAACCGACCGGTGTCATTCATAATTTGAGCCCGAATCGCGCCTTTACTAACGGTTTGGTTGGGCAGCGACGTGGGCACAGTCTGTGCCAATGACTCGGTGATCGTCGATGACTGATGTGGAATTCCACTTGCAGTGATAGTCTCGGGTGTCTTTGGCAACGACTGGACAGGTGTAGTAGATGCTTCTGGTCCGCTAGATGCCGACGACTGTGATGAAACATCATGTGTAGTGAAGGACTCAGGCTCCTTTGGCGACGCCACATCGCCAATAGTAGTCATATCATGTGATGATACGGCTTCCAAACTATCCTCGGGGTGTGCTTGGGGCATAGCTGGACCCGACACCGTAGTGCCCGCTATACTACAGCTATCCTCGGGAAATATGATGGCGGTGATGGAGGAGATGTCGGTGTTCGACGATATGTTAATACCTTGTTGTTGTGGAGGGGAAGCATCCTCGTGTTCGTCTTCCATGATGATGATGGAGGAGATGGTGGACAGCATATCAACGTCTTGTTGTTGGATAGGGGAAGTACCCTCGTGTTCATGTTTCATGGCGGTCACGTTAGAGACGAGTACCGCGTCGGGCTTGTTGGTGACAAGTGTCGCCATCCGTGCGAGCTCTTCGATTCCCTTGCGGTACTTGGACCACTCGTTCGGAATATGGCTATACTCCACCTCTGTGTGCAGGTAGGTGTGGAGCTTCTCGAGTGCCTCCCAGCACCAGCTGACTGGAAGGCAACCCGGACCCAATGTTGTGATGTGTGGGACCGCCATCTCGAGTCAATTGAACAGGCTGTTCGCAAGGGACTCGAACTCGGTCTGGCTATTCCGAATATATGAACTGAGGAGATAAACGAGGGCGAAGTTTATTAGCATAGTGAGGTGTCGAAGTAGGGTATAACTCTGCGCAGTGTCATTGTAGAGTGTCATTGCCTTATCGTAGCGATGGGCGCGCTCGGTCATTTGCTGCTTCAGCTGAAAGCCCTGGCGCTCTCGCACCGAGAGGTGATGTAGTGGGCGATAACTGTTCAAAGATTATGACTTCTTACGTTCCGCGGGTGGGTGCTGGAGGCCGCGTCGCTGGAGAGCAATGCGCTCGCGATACTTCTGCCGCTGTGCGCTCATCCTGTCAGTGAGAGTCTGGCGGTGGGTGCTATGGCGAAGCATTGTGTCGGTATACGTCTGGTGCGCGTTCTGATCTCCGCTTCGCGCGAAACGAATCGACGTGTTCATGCGTTGCTTGAGGAGGGAGAACTTGCTGTCCACGCGACTGAGCCTGCCAGGGGCAGTAGTTCGGGAGATGTGGCTCATGGTTGGATTTCAAGGATTTTAATGGAGATTGGAGGTTCAACAGATGTCTTGCAGAGTCGATGTGCAATCAGAGTTGTTGTTAGGGTCAATCGCAGGTCAGGAAGAAACACCAAGGTTGACGAAACAGAGTGGGCTCGCTCGAAAACCGCCGCTGTACGCTAATTGTAGCCCACGTGCTATTATCTTGAACCAATTGGCGCGCAATTATTATGTGTGACGTCAAGGCGAGAGAATAAGTGAGTGTGAGTGTTTAGCGCCTGAGAAAGCGGGGGTGCAGACGTTTGAGGAACTGAGTGAAAGAGGGTGACACTTTGACATGATCTCGACAAACCGGGCACATTGAGAGGCTCCGTGTTGCATGCATATAATACCGTCATCTCAATCTTATATAAGGGGAGTTGTAAGGGGGGTACATATGATGTTATATAGATACGGATATCTAATGTTCGCGAGCAGTTGTCCAAGTAGGTAGAATTATACCGTTGTCGATATCATCTCATCTACAACATGGATATGGGGTGCATCCGGTATGATCTACCCACAGCAATCAACAAGAATGTTATGTGACATATAAAATTTTAAGTATTCTTGGTGTATTTGCAGAACACACCTGAGTGACCAGTGGATGATTTCCCTATGGAGGGGTATGTGGTGCACAAACAATGAACGGTCAACCATAATTTTACAACTCGAACAAAGAGCGCAATAAGAACAATGAATAGCCAGACATTGAACCGTGCTATTGTTTGCCGAGATCCGCTCAATGGATCGAGGTTGTGTTAAAGGTGCCTGTGGACCCCTTCAGCGGTCGCTCCGCGCTACCCTAGCAACTGCGGAAGGCTCAAGCCACGTTACTCACCAAACGCACAACCAAACTCTACATCTGTTACGACAAGGCTAATTGAGATTTCTTAGACAAACAATACCCGCGCACCTGCAGCCAGTTGCCTTAGACACGCAGTATGCAATCTTTCGATAACGTGCACGTGCAGGTCGAAGATTCCAGCACCGGATCAGCGACCATTCACACGACTTCTCCCACATTGAACGCACAGCTATCAGAGATGCCGACTACCAAGATTCTTTTGTCACAAGAAAGCCCCGGTGCTGTTCTTTCGGTTTCTGCAGGACAGTGGGACGATATCGCACATTGTGAAAAGGTAAGCACACCGACAATCATGAGCGCATCCACACAAAGGGCCATATACTGCAGCACTGGAATGCAAACAATGCCCCCAACAAATGCAGAAGATTTTCATAAGATACATGGCCGCGAGCCAACCCATGACGAACTGGTGAAGAAGATGGGATGTGCTGGGATCGGTCGTTACGAGCCTGGTCCGCGGCCCTACGAAGTCATCATCGGCAAACCGTTTCCCACGGAGCCTTCTTCTCGGGATTTGTTCGTCTCCCAGGAAACTGCTTTCCAGACCAGCGAAGTAGTGCATGTCAAGAATTCCTTGGTCCATGCCAAGGCGAAGGCGACAGCGTTGGCTAAGCGTCAACTCAACGCAGCCAAAGCTGCAGGGTATAATATATGGCCGGAAACAAACGAGGATAGAGTCATACACATGGAGCAGTACTATATCGATATTCAACTTGATGACGAGGGTAATGCGACGAATGTAGACGTTCGGGGGCACTCTCTTCCAAACATCTGCGGCGAAGAGATCAACCCTACTCCACTCACACTTCATCAAGATCAACACGATCAAGTCAAGACGCACATGAGGACTGTTCGTGCTGATACATCATTCAATTCGAAAGCCGGCACTTCTTTCTCGGTCCTGGAGCCTGGTCTCTCCCCACGATTACCACCCGAAGAGGAAGCCGTTCGGGAACCGCCGCGCCTTCAACAGATTCCATCGGCCAGATTTTCATCACCTGGAGCTGATCCGGTTGCCATCGAAGATTATGGTTATTTCACGCTGGTCCTGAAGAATGACCGGAAAAAGGAGTCACCAAAGCGTACACAGACGCACAACTCGCAAAACTCCGAGTCTGCAGTTAAACTTCGCGAGGATGAGGTTCCGACGATTGTGGTTCGCAGAGAGAGGTTTGCGGATGAATTCATCGTACACGACGCGACCGAGGCACCTCCTGAAATACCGAAAGGGCCTAGGAAGCGCACGCCTAATCATCGCGAGGGGGCTAGGGGCGCGCAAGAAGCATCGAAACGCTCCAAGACAACAGATTCTAATGATGTGGGTAATTCGCCGTACTTGCGCATGAGGGGGAACACACATCAGTACGAAGTTCCGTCGATGTATCTGGATGCATCCCTCCGAGGTAGTATCGAGCGTGATGGGAAAAGCCAACAGTCAACGAAGGATGGATCCCGTCATGAGCACAGTTCCGACCCGGTACAAAGCGGACGTGCAGATGGCCGAGCATCTGATCATGATAGCTCACGTCACACATCACGAATGCGGAACTCCCACAGGGACCGAAGCCGTTCGCCTGTAGATCGACATGGCAGCAGTCGTTATAAATCAAGAAGCAGGGCTCGAAATGCATCTAGAAAACCTTTCGAGGAAGAGCAACGACACGCACGAACAGCCAAGGTAGACCAAGAGCCCCATACTCCACGCGCTTCAGCCTCTGGGCATGCGGCCGACAAGATGCACGATATGTTCAAACCTGAGGAAAAGACGCGCGAGGCCGCTGATTCATCGGTGCAAAATGCACAGCAAGGCCATGGCGTGGCAAATACTCAACGCCAGGCTACCAGAAATGCCGTGCAAGAGCTGGATCCTGCAAAGCGCAATGCTCAGCCCAAGAAAGAAGAAGCAGCAAGTCGCGCACGTGACGTTGAAGATCGTCACCGACGAGAGCAGGATAAGATCAAGGAAGCTGAGCAGCTAGAAAAGAAGCGCCAGCTTGAGGAGGCCGAGATCAAGCGCGCTCGCGATGCGAAGGACCTTCAAAAGCTGGAGAGAGAAGAGAAGAAGCAAGCACGGGAGGCGGAGCGTCGTCGACAGAAAGAAGACCGAAACCACTGTCGTGAGCAAGAGCGCGCTGCTGATCGAGACAAAGAAAAGCGCGACGGGTGCCATGAGATCGATGACCCATCCCACAGTACGCATGTTGACGGGTATGCACGTGAACGCGAAGCTCAGAACCGGAGACGTGAGGAAGCGTCCGGCCTGCCGGTACCCACTAACTCCGGAACGGGCCGTCGTAGTGCACGCGAGCGATCGCAACGCCACGCCCAGGATGCCGAGCGACGGGCGCCTGAGAAGAAGGCCGACAACAAGGTCACCAAGCGGCGACCTGAGCGGGGTGCTCGTGGTGAGCTTGAACGTTATGATCCACGTAAGCGGTTTGGTAGGGGAAGGTAGAGATTGAATATACGGTATTCCTGTGTCATTCTTAGGTGGATCAGGGGATATGGATCATGATGACAGGAACGTGGTGTATTCGATCATTGGCTTTCCGGGAAGCCAGACACTGGGTCTTGGCTTTTTTTATGTACTCATCAATTTGTTTTTGTTCTTGTTTGTTTGCCTAGTTGAAGATGGAGATTGAAATCTGCAATGCTGATTCAGAGGGAGATTGGGGGATATTTGGTGTAGGATAACCCATAACGATAAATCATTGATACAATTTAACTGCTTTCTTATAACATTAGGATAGAAGTATAGCGTCATAAAAATGTTCCACTGAGTATTGATATTATTTTCACGCCATGAAAAATGAACAATATGAGTTTCTGCTTCGCCTAGTCGCGAGTGGTCACTGCCAGTACTTAGGGGAGATGAAATACAGGATTTTACAGCTAGAAGTCAGTGTATCGTTCTTCTGTATCTCGTTCGTGTCATGGAATATTGCGTGACTTTCATAATTTAGAGCATTGCACCAACAAGACCGTCCCATTGAGGCCGATGGAACTGTAGAACTAATCATGATGATTGCTATATAAACGAATAGAATTGAAGTGAACGCCTTTCAGCAGATATTTTCAAATGTAGGCATATTGTAAACGATTGCTCTTTGATCCATGATATGCTATTGTTTGGTTTGACATGAGTTTGAGGTGAGATGTGCGAGCTGCTAAAGCCTTAAGCTAAACAATTCCCACGACTGCTCATCGTGCAAAATTTGACAGAGTCTTGACTAGATCATGTCTCCCCTATGCTGGTATCGCTATGACAAGAAACCAGCGTATATTGCCTACCGCACGCAACACCTGATGTCGATATCGACGCAGCAAATTTGCGACCGAGGAGAACCACCAGCCTGACGTCGCGATCGATGACCTCATAACGGATTAAGACCGTGGATGCTCAGCCTCAACACTGACTCATTGGATCTTTATATATCGCCTTACCACGTCAACCCCGCACGGCAGGTGCCGGCCCTGGGGGTCCTATACCCAAATGGGAAATTGCGTGAACTTGCGCTCACGCGTGTGCGCGCGATATCGCCCGTTTCGCCCCCGTACTGACCAGCACAAAGACTCACTTACACTTGTGCCTTGAGATAATGCGGGGGAATCACACCTCTTGGCATTCTGCGACAGAAGTCCTACGTCTGCTGCACTTGAGAGCTTTCTGCCCACTCTACATCGCACTCCCCAGCTCTGCTACACTACAACGATTCTCTGCACGACCAGTCTTTACGATACCACGATCAGAGACTCTCTAGCTCACAACTATTTCCCTACTATATCACTTCTTCCCAAACCTTCATATCATCTCTGCACACAAATTCCTTCCCACCATCTCTACACACACAGACCTTTCCTCCATCTCTAAACACACCAAGATGTTTTTCACACACACATTCCCCGTCGCGAACAAACCCTTCAAGTTCATGGACAAGGTGTTTGCCAGTCTCCAGCAGCAATGCCTCCCGTCTTTCATGATGTCGAGGCGCGAGCAGGAACACAACCGCAAGTCCACCATGACGGCTGCGCTGCGCAGCGAAGCGCGTCAGATCCAGCACATGGAGCGCCGTGGCTTGACCACCCCTGACAAGGTAGACACTGCGAAGATCAAGAAAACAATTATCTCGCCCGCTAAGCACCGACGACCTGCCCATATCCACACAGTAGAGAGTCGCCAGGCCATGAACTCCATGGTTAAGATGGTCAAGGGTTGCAGCAGCAATACGAAAGTTTGGACTCGCGATTCACCCGGCATTGGTGGAATGTTGTCTCGTTCCTTCGACAAAGTAAGTGTTTCTTTCCTGATTGCAAAGAACATTGATTAACTTAAATAAAGATTGCTGCGACTGCTGCCACCTTGGGCGAAGCAAGTAGTGCCGACGAGTTCGAAGCCTGTGCTGATGGCTTGCTCCATCTCTTGAACCAGACTGCGCAGATGCTCAGGATGCTGGGACTTGGAGCGAGCATCCCCGTCGCAGGCGCCGCCATGAAGCAACTGCACAAGATTCTCGAGCGACTTCAGCAGTGGGAAGCTTCAGGACAGGTCACGCAGGCTTGGTCCCGCTACTACGACGGTATCGTGGAGTTCTTTGATACAACCCAGATTGCACGGGACGATGTCAAGGACTTGAAAGACATCACGGACTTCTTCCCCGTCTCTATTGGCACCATTCCAGATGCCGAGGATGTCGCTATGCCAGATGCTCAGGATGTTGCTATGTCAGATGCCCAGGATGACAACATGTGGGACGTCTCTGATGTCGTAGAAGACGTCTCAGAGCCCATGGAAGGTATCACAGCTCCCTGGAGAGATTAGAGCACGCAGCCCAGTCTATCTCCAAAAGGTAGCAACTCAACATGGAAGCCTGACTCTGGATTGGCTTCTCCTCCTGTCGACCGGGATCCCGAGCTCTTTGAGCTTCAGAACGGCCTTGTGGGAAGCGTGCCGCCCATATTCCCCGCAATTCGCGTGGACCCCGTGGCCGCTTCCACACTTCCAGATGACATGGAACCTCGTTCTCAGGCGACTCCGCTCTCATTTGGTGTTAGTCTCGAGTTACGCCCGGTCCCGTCCAGCCCTCCTGCGTGGACCATTCCTCAGTTGAGTGGTCCAAACTCCTCTCCTTCCAGCACAATGGCACCTGGATTTTCGATGCCTCCCCCAGCGACTGTTCCAACCTCCAGTGGTCTGAATTTTCTGCCATCTACACCGGCAGCATCTACTACAGTCACCTCTAACCCTCTTCCTCCGACCGGTCCGACGTTCAGTGGTTTGACCTTCTTGCCATCAACGTCAGTGGCTTCGACGACGGTCACGTCGAACCCTCCCCCATCGACTACTCCCACCTTCAGTGGTCTGAGTGTACTGCCATCTACGCCGGTGGCGTCTACTACAGTCGCCTCAAACCCGCCTCCAGTGGCTGGCCCGAGCTTTAGCGGTCTGAAATTCATGCCATCAAGGCCGGTGCATCTACTACAGTCGCCCTAAACCCTCCCCCAGCGGCTGGCCCAACTTTCAGTGGTCTAAGTTTTCTCCCCTCCAGGCCAGTGGCATCTGAGGCTTCGAGCCCTTTTGTGGCCCAGCAATCCACCCAGAGCCCTTCTGTAGACCAGCAACCCGCCCGACAGGATCCTGTGGTGCAGCCAACCACCCAACAGGCTTCTGTCCAGCAGGTTCCCCAGGCGCAGCCTCCCGTAGCATAGCCTGCACAAGCAACGACCTTGTCGAAAGTTTCTCCCAAGGACGCAACGATGAAAGAGGTATTGCAAGGGGACGGTGCCTTCTGCCACACCGGCATCGTCTCCGCCTCCTCCCTCGCCTCTTTCCTTGAGAATCAGCATTTCCTGGAACTCTGCCAGAACGAGAAGGATAGATCATATCTCAACATCCTCCGGTTTGGAGACATCCATCGCAGCGACGTCGCCCTCATCACCCGAATCTGCGATTGGATCCTGAAACAGAGGAATACCGCCTGGTTGAAGGATGTGGATATTGCAGAGGCTGCTGTGGACGATTTCCGGAGGTCGCTGAGGGAGTTCCTGATGAATGAGTTGAAAGACCACAATGGGATCTTTGTTAAGGCTCTGAAGGTGAAGATCG